ACACTTCTGGTGATGGAGATAATGGTGTTGACACTGCGGTGGGACTTTGACGCCGACACGAAGCATATGTCGTGCAACTCCATATCCATCGTCCATATGCACCCTCCATCCTTCCCTCTTTCCCAGTGCCGTACCTGTCGTACATATCATCTCCCTTTCCACCTGCACTCCACGTGTTCTCACCTTGCCGACGGTTCGCATTGCCGTACCCAGCTGGCGGATGCCCGTTCCGACGCCATCAGCAGCAGCGGAGACAGCCGCCGCCGCCGCCGGCGCCGCCGCTGCGGGCGCTGCAATTGTGGCAGTTGTACGACCACCTGCTCCGCCACCGCCGTCGCCGCCGCCGCCGTCCGCCGCCGATCCCAAGCTCCCGCTATCTCCATTATCTAGTAGCACAACACCTCGACGCGACATGGGGGCGTCATCCGCTGAAAGGTTGATGCCGCTGGCGTCAACAGGTCGCCTTTCCGGGCCCGTGGCTATTGATGCCGCTGCCGTCGTCGCCGCCGCCGTCGCCGCCGTTGTACGGCCACCGTCTCTCCCCCTCGCCGAGTCCTCGCCATCATACTCCTCAACCACTACGCCGCGCCGCGAAACGGGCAACAGCTCCGCTGAAGCGCTGTCGCTGCTTCGGGCGCGGTGGGAAGGAGGAGACCTTTCCGTACGTAACGGCGGCGGCGTCGACGTCGCCGGCGGCGGCTCGTCCCGCTGCCCCGTGGATGCCGCCGCAGCTGTCGTGATACGGATCTCGCAAAGCGCCGAGAGACGGCGGCGGCTTCGCAATGGCGGGGAGGGCGGAAGGGCGGGATGCGGGTAAGATTGCGGCGGCAGCGACGGCAGTGGCAGCGGTGGTTTCGGAGGAGAAGTAGATGAGAGGCCGGCAGTGGGTAGTTGCGGCTCTGGAGTGGCGGCGGTGATGCCGCCGCTGACGCTCTTGCGCGGCTGCTGTGTCGTACCGTCGTACGCGGTGTGAGACTCGTACGAGGTGGCCTGGGAGACACCGCCGTCGCCGTCGTGGGATGAGCTGCGGCGCCCAGCGCCGCCGTCGATGCCGTACAAGGTCGCCGACGGCGTCGATGCGAGGGACAGGGCGGCAGGCAGCGGCGCCGCCGGTGACTTGCGCGACGTCGTGCCGGCAGCGACGGCCGCCGCGGCACGCGGGCCCGTTGATCCGCTGCGCCGCCGTACATGCATGGCGACGGCCGCCTTTGCAGTCGCGGACCGTACGGCAGCCCATCCCTCGCCGCCCGTGCCGGTGGCTATCTCACCAGCGGCAACACAGGCCATGGCCGCGAACGGTGATGTCCTCGGCTGGAACGGCAGCGACGGCGACGGCGGTAGCGAGGCCGCCGCCGCTGCTGCCGCCACAGCCACCGCCGCTGCCCTGGCGGCACCTATCAGCAGCCCCGCTCCAGGGAGGGCAAGGTCAGTGGGTGCGTGAAGTCCTTCCCAGACGCGAGCCAACTCCCAGGGGCTGCCAGCGCCCTGCGGCACACTGACCGTCGTACGGCGATCTTCCATGCGCCCGCCGCCAGCGCCGATGCCGATGCCGCCGTCGCGGTCCCCGCGCGACCACTCCAGAGGCGCCTGTGGATGACGTAATATCGAAATGTATTTCTCGGAAATAATATGAAGATTTAATAACGGAAATTAAGAATTTAGTTCCTTGCGTCTACAGAGAAACCCGTAATAGAAAATTACATTTCGTTTAGGAGCTCAGGGATGTTGAGGATGAGTGCCGTACGGAGCCTCCAAAAGACCGGTAGGTAGATCAGCGCCCCTTCGCCGCCCGGGTCGGAAATAACCTAAGGGGTGTAAGGTGTCACGAGGAGGAGCGCCCACACGGGGCCGTACGGACGTGCAGCTCTCCCCCCTCTCCTCAGACCTCCTCTCCTCCCCCCCCCGTCCTCCGGTCTTACCGACACGGCTCGGGAGGCGGAGGCAGCCGCCAGCGCATTACCGCTTGTATTGGGATTGAATCGACCTCGCGCCGCGTCAGCGGCGGCGGCGGCGGGGCCGCGGCGGCGCCGCCGCGGACGACCGCCGCTCAAGATGACGGCGTCAGCGGACCGCCGGAATGGCGTCAGTCGTACTTGGGCGTCAGCGGCGGCGCCGGCGGGTGCGGGTGCGGCGCCCGCGGTGCGATGGAGGAGTGTGGCTTCGGCGGCGCCTCGGCCGCCATCCCGCCGTACGACACGGGCGTTGGTGGCGTCGGCGCCGCCGTCGGCGTGATGACCGTTGGCGATCGGCGATGCGGCTGTGGCTGTTGGCGGCGCCATGCCGTCTGGCTGACGACAACAGGCAGCGCCGTCGCCCCCATCGTGTTGGTCGTCATCACTGCCGTCAGAGTATTCCACTTTGGCGTTGTACGACAGGTTGCTCCGTCGCCGCTGCTGCTGCCGCTGCTTGCTTGCAGCTGCCTCGCCCTGCCGCACCTTGTGCACTTCGAACGCGAAGACGGCAAAGGGAACCACCAACAGCATTATCGGTATGCCTTTTCATTTTTATTTTTGTCGTTGCGGTGGTTGTCGTTGTCGTTGCGGTGGTTGTCAATTTTGTCGTTGCGGTGGTTGTCAATTTTGTCGTTGTCGTTGTGGAGCCGCCAAATTGGCAGTGAGGGAACAGGGGGTTGGGGGAAACATAAAAACTGTGGATTTTGATTACCGTACGCTTCGCGGTACAACGCGCACAGTACATGCTGTACACATAGATAACCAGCGCGCAAATTATCAATATACGCGGAAACAGCCTTTCGTTCGTCCTAACTAACAAAACGTAGGATTGCTGACGTCACGACACGGATGCGGCAAATCACCCAGGACAGCTCCCCTGACACGGTGTAAAATGTACGACTGCCTCCCCCCCCCCCCTTTTTATCCCCCAAGGCTTCACCGATATCTGCTGCTGTTGAGCGCATTGACAAAGGTTTTACAATGCAGCAATAGCACCACAAGAAACTCAATAAGCTCGAAGTGACTTCGGTACCATCAGCAGTTGCAGTTTTAGCGCGCTAACAGTAAAGCCGCAGCAGCAGAAGCACGAAACAGCATCACCCATCTCCAAAAACAGAAGCCGTACAAGCAAAAAAGCAGTATATGCAGTCGTACCCGTCAGTAACGCCAGACGGCGGCCTGCAGCTCCGAAGGTGGCGTCCATGATCGGCAACCCGATCATGCCTGTGTTGTTGGCGGTCAGAACCAACGTCAGCAGCGCCGACTCGCGAAGTACGGAAAATCCACTAGAGCCGACGTCGCCGCCACCATCGTTCTTGACGTCGACGCTGTTGCCGCCATCGGAGCTGAGGCTGGCGGCGGCGGTGCTACCGTCGATGTCGCCGAGGCGCTTGCAGCGGCGGCGCGACCTGCTCGGCTCCGGCAAATTCCAACAGACGGACATACGGACTGTCGGTCAGTCGATTGAGTGGAAGGAGAGACGAGTCGACGTCAGCCGTCTAGGTGCTATCGGCGGAACAAGGGGGAGGTTTATGTAAGCATACAGACGCACATGCACACTAGGACCCCGAATGGGTATGTGTGTATGTATGTGTGTATGTGTGTATGTGTGTATGTGTGTATGTGTGTATGTGTGTATGTGTGTATATGTGTATGTGTGTATGTAGTATGTATGTAAGTATGTATGTCCTCTGTGCGACCCGGGAGAGCAGGCGGGGGTGATGGAGGGCTGTGTGCTTGAGGGGATCGTTGCACGACAGGAGACGTCAAAGCGCTCAACATGGGGGCATCAGCTCTAGCGATGTGAAGTCCACAAGAGGTGAGTTTTCTGTTTCCATGTGCTTCTGTATGTGCTTCTGTGTGTGCTTCTGTATGTGCTTCTGTATGTGCTTCTGTATGTGCTTCTGTATGTATTTCTGCGTTCGTATTTATGAACTGGACTGAGCCGCGACATGCGAAGGCTAAAGATACTGGGTGTCTGTGTGTCTGTATGTGTGGAAGCAGCAGCAGCAAAATGGCGTCCACATGGCGCCCGCACGTTGCATCGGGCCGTACTGTACCATTTTCTGTGCACTGCCGTACTGTGCCGTACCTTTTGACCGCCAGGCAGTACAGCAGGATGGCAAGCTTGGTCACCACGATCCAAAGGACGTAGGCGGCGAGGGTCCTGCGCACAGAGGGTCAATGGAGGGGGAGGGGGGAAAACGAAGCGGGGCGGGTCGGTTAGGAGCACGGGTTGCAGGGTGAGGGGGGGGCCACGGCAACCTAGCCAAGATGCCGTCGTACATTGTGATGGACGCCATCACGGGATGGCAAGACAAAGGGGGAAGGGGGAATACGAGGCGGGTCGGGTCGGTTAAGAGCGTGGTTGCCCCTTCCCCCCTCGTTTTACCATCCCTCCGACTGCGGCCTGTGGGCCATGTGGGCCGCACGGAGGGTCTATGCCACACCGTACGGTACAGTACGGCACAACAGGACAAAGCATAACGGGTGCCGCGCCCTCAGGCCATGCAGGTTCTAGATCCTATTCATCCAGATCCAGATCCAGATCCACATCCTCTAACCGCACCTAGCCCAACCGACACACCTCCATGCCTCCGCATCGTCCAGCTGCAACTTGATCCCCAGGTAGTAGCCGGCTAGGCAGGTAACGCCAACCCACAGCACCAGCGTGTTTACCTGAACCCCAGGGGGAAGATGAGGGCGGCGGAAGGTGGAATGGATGGGCCGAAGTGGGGCCGAGGAATGCGGGCCGGCCGCCATATCCCAGGTATAAAGTATAACTATATGTGGTCATCGATGGTGGGGCGGAAGAATGAATAGATCCTAAGAATGCGAAGATGCGCCACATTTGTAAAGTGTGGTTTTCCTGCGCCGCGACAGGCAGCCGTGATTAACGGCCTCCCGGGACGAGAGGGGTGAGAAGCGGCAATCCTCTGTCTGCATATTGCTCGGAAGTTGTGCATCAAATGCGTTGAAAGTAACGCGGGAGCGGCCGCCCGTAGCAGGGGGGCCCGGCCCTGTCAACTGCTCCGACCCTGCGCGCCAAGCGCCGCGCGTTAGGTGTTGGGGGAGCAGCGTAGAATCCCGTAGAATCCCCGGACCTGAGGCATGTATTTTTCGGCATCAAGGACCCGAAAGCGTACAAGCAGCCAGCCTAGGAAGATGCTCAGCAGAATTTGGAGGCCGACGTTCACGACGGGTTGGAGAGCCCAGGCCATGGCTGCCCTCGGCGCAGCAATGGCCAGCTGGTTGATACAATGGCCAGTGAGCTTTTTGTTGCGCTGACAGAAATCGCCGGAGGTAAATTGAGGAGAATTAGGGCTTTGGTTTTCCCGGGCCTGCTCGGGAAGTTTGAGCGTCCTCGTACAGAAAAAAGCTCCTGTCCTCAGGGGAAAATATTCAAGTTGCTTTGGTATAAAAGTTAGCAGGATGCCGGTTGTTTTGGACAACAGGCTCTCTAACCTGATTGTTAATGACGTCGGAGGGACGTTGACCGTTTCCTCCCCGTTTCTCGCTTCGCGAAGCAAAAGACGTCCCGAAACTCACGCAACCCTTCCGTGTGCAGCGAATCGAGTATGTTTTTATTAAAAGAGATTTATTATCTTTATGAAAAGCCATAGCTGCCAAGATGCACGAGGTGGCATAATAGGTGGTCAGGGCTTTCGCGAACCATGGGACAGCAGTCCCGCCGCACCCCGGACGCGCACCGCGAAAAACGCACCACAGCTGCGCGCACATAGTGCAGAAAATCTGTAGCTATCACGGTATCCCACCCCTCCATGCGATTATTCTTTTTGCAGGCCTACTTATGCCGCACTGCGCGATTCCTTTCGCCTTTCCAGTTCTCGTGTGGAGCCAAAGACCGACGGTTACATAAAGACACATTGTTTTTGGATTACAGTAACGTAAGGCAATCGCCTCTTCCATCCCACCGATGCAGCATCGATGAGCCCGTGAGGTAACTTGGTGCTCACAGCTGTTGGAGGTGTGCGTGAGTGTGGTGAGGCAATTTATTCCAGTTACTTAATAATGGGTGCCGTGCACCGCGCACTTGGGCGTCGCTTGAGCTTTTTCGGTGTGTAAGCGATTAAGTGCAGTGTGGATTTAAGGCGTCGGTAGGGGAGAGCATAAACTTGTTCTCATGCCATTATTGTCTGACTGTGTAACTCACGTTAAATACAGCGATGAGACACGTTGATTATCCAACCAATTTTCGTTGCTTGTTTGAGTGAAGGCAAAAGCCTTGCAAAGATTAATGATATGCGCCTTTGGTGAGCCGTACTCGCTGATCTCTTTAGTAAAAGGCGAAAGAGATATGAGAATCGTGAACGGCTCAGCGCTGTGAACATGACAAAGCTGGTCAGCAGGTACCTTCTTGTCTCGATGCTCTGGTGGAAAACCTGGCGGCGATGGTGGGTCTTGACTGGCCATGACGTCTCGCAACCGAGCAGTCTGCTTAATATAGCCCACGAGGGTATGTTAAATATTTAGACATATGTAGTTATGTGAGGCGTGCAATCCCTAAGAAACAGAAGGTTCAAGTTTGAAAGCTACCTAAGGAGGGACATTTCAAGCGTACCGCAGACAAAAAATACTCAGCCCCCGGAGCTCCACATGCTAGGATCATGCCCACGACCATTCAAGGTGACTTGAAGGCGACTACATACAACCCGCTGGGTACAGTTATGCCAAAATCCCGTACGTCTTCCGTCATGCAGTCGCAACGCGGTGGCTTTCTGTTTCACCAATCCCCTAGGCCTGACTTGCCCGCTACCTTCTCCTGCCTCCCTTTTTGCATACCTTATCAGTTTCCCTTCTTCAAAACCGCGCGCACACACCCTCGCATCATCTCGCATCTCGCACCTTGCACCAATACTAAAACGCTGCCTGTGGGGATTCGGTTTGTGTGGGGATTCGGTTTGGAGCGTCTGGGAATGCCAGGGAGGGGAGATGTGGAACTCTTTTGAGCAAATGGCTGGACACAAACAGCTATTGGTACCTATGTAGCAGCTTTGGGCCGCCGGCCTCCCCATCAAGTCGTGGGATTGACTCAGATGGTTGATGCATGTGCACCGCTGCTTTCCAGTCCGTCCATGCGATAGCTCGTGTTGTCCGTTCCCATTACCACGGACTACTGCGGTCGGCATATGTAACCGGATTGCTACATTGTTAACGCGTGAAAGGTTTGTAACCTCGGCCGTTTAGCGTGTTGTACGGCACGTGGTACAGCGGGACACCCAATTGGAAATGCGGCAACACAAGCGACTAGTACCGGCGCTAGTCTATGCGAGCAGTGATGAGAGGAGCCGGTTTAAGTTCGTTCTGATAGAAACAGAATGCATCCCGCATCTGCGTCCCACGCATAGGCGTCTTGGAAGCTCACAGGTGTCACGCAAAGTGGCAAGTTGGATTGTAGCTGATGTTACTCTTTTATAGATACTCCAGGCGCATTCTCGCATTATTGGCGTTAGTCCTCGCTGTGGAGTACGCAATTGTCCACCGCATTTCTCTGGATGCGTTGACTCGCAGCGATGTCGGCCTATCGCAATGGCGACAGCTGTTAACGGACTGCAACTGCACTGATTGTAAGCGCATGGATTTTGCGGGTTTCACCCCGGCAACGATGTTGGTTCCTAGGCCGCAGTTTGGTTGTCGTGCCACATAAGCATTAAAGCTTTTACGCTTACTTATGATTAAAGTCCTTGATGCGCTGGTTAAGGGACTGTTCCGCAGTTGACAGTTGAGCCATCTCCAGTAAACTTTACCCCAGCCACCAAGTTCGCCGACAACGAACCCATCTGCGTTGCTTTATCCCTCCCACCTCCACAGGTCCCGTGCGACATTTGACGCTTATCCATGACGGCCTCTACCAACGCGCTTACTCAGTACATCTGCTGCACCGCGTGTTGGCGATCAGTTCCGAAGATGGAGATCCCTACGATGCCTTTAACGATGATGATCTGGGAGACAACTCTGTGGATGACGAGGACTCCAACGAGGAAGACGACGATGCGCCGACTGGCCTCGTGCCTTCCCTGCCTGACGGCCTCACTGTGCCATATGCGTACGCACCAGGCGACATGCTATCCAATCCAGTACCCGCCACAGCAGCCCTGCCGACAGCCGGCTCGCGTCCCGTCCAATCCCCTGCATCTAGCACCGCCGCCGTGCCTGCGTTGCCGCCTTTGACCGCAACTACCGATCAAGGCCAGTCGCTGTACCCCAACCCACATCAATTCGAACCACACCAACAGCACCCACATCAGCAGCAAATCTTGCAGCAACAGCAGAACCGCCCTGGTGCGCCTGCAGCAACTTCCGGCGCTGATGCTGGTGTCGCTGTGGCCGCTGGGGCCGGGGCCGCTTCTGGAACCCCCCGCCTGCTGCAGGCTGTGGTGTGGCAGCCCAGCAAGGTGCTGTCGGTGTTCCCCTGGCAGCTCCGAGCGCACTTCTTCCTCTCGCTGGCGTCCACCAGGATGTACCTGCTCATGGGGCTGTGGCCCAGGGCAGCCGCAGTGGCAGCGGCGGCGCCGCGCCGCCTGCGCCAGCAGCCCCTTTCCGCCACCGCCGCTGCCTCCACAGGCCACAGTCACCACCAGCAGCAGCAGCAGCCTCCTGGTGCTGCACCACACGGGCAACACGCAACCGGAGGACCCGGCGGGGTGTTCGGGGCGGTGCCTTCGCCGCACGACTCAGCAGCAGCAGCAGCGGCGGCCTCGCAGTCATATGGCACCGGCGGCGCCGGAGGCAGCGGCAGCGGCAGCGGCGGGTTCTCGCATCCCCATGCTCAGGCACAGGCGGCTGCGCACACCTACGCACAGCAGGCTCACGGGTACGATGGCATGGGTAGCTTGTACGGCTTCAGCCGTACAGTCACGGACGAGAGCCAGAGCCTGGCTGCGGCGCTTTCGGCCGTGGGACGTGGCGTGCCTGTGTTCCTTCCTCCGGAGATGCTCGTCCAACATGGTGTGCAGGTACGCAACCACCGTCTGTTTGTGGGGTTAGTTCTCGGTGGTTCTGGGGGCCCCGTGAAACCCTAAGTGAACCCCACCTCAGGACGCAGCAGGTCGCCGCGTAGGGGCGCGGCACTGGTAAGCTGCGCGGCACTAGGTCCCATGTACACACGTAGAGCTCCCAAGGTAAAAGAGCTCCCAAGGTAAAAGAGCTCCCAAGGTAAAAGCCCAAAACCGGGCCGACGGGCTGGCGAGACTTTGGCGACATTAGCTTGGTGCGGCGCGCGTATTTTGTATCGATAAACTACAAAAGTTCCTGGCCTAAGGCTACTTACTTACCCACCTACCCACCTTACAAATGATCCTTTTGCATGGGTTATATCTTGTGCACAACTTTCCCCCTCCTTCCCGCAGGAGGACCTCATGGCCAGCTGCGTGTTCAAACCGGCAGTGAAGAGCGGCCCCGGGGGCGCTGTGGCGGCGGGCGGCAGTGGCGACGACGGCGGCGGCGTCAGCGGCGCGGGTGAGACCGTCCGACCGTCCACCGTCCGTATTGACTTTTGAAGCTCCCCCAGACCCCTCATCTTTCCTACCTGCACAACTCCCATCTCACTGCCCACTCCTCCGCGTTTGGTTTCCTTCCATGACCTTTGGACCCCGCCTCGCTTCCCGCGACCCTTCCGTCGCTCCTTGTGCTTACTTGTATGTGATGTTCCGCCACCCCGCTGGGTTCCCGCTCCCCAGGCCGCTCACCGCTCCCCCGCTGGCGCTCCTGGCCCTCCCTCATCAGCCGCTGGGTGGCGCACCTGGCGGGCCGCATAGCGCAGCACGGAGGGCGAGCAGCCGCCAAGTTGCGAGCAGCTGGGGCTGGGGGGGGGCCTGCCGGGGGGGGTGCGGGTGCAGCAGCGCCGCCGCGGCCGCTGCACCCACCACGCCATCAGGCCAGCACATCCTATGGAAACGATGGGGACAGTGGCAGCAGCAACGGTGGCGACGGCGAGGGCAATGACCCACGGGTCGGTTCCAGGCGTGCTGTGGAGGAGGAGCAGCAGAAGGGAGGAGGAGGAGGCACGGCCGTGTCGAGGTGGCTGAGCGCGAGGGGGGCGGGGGCAGGAGAGGCCGGGTCGCAGCAGCCGCAGCACGCGTACGTGGAGTGTCGGCTGTACCGTACTGACCGCGTGCGCAACGTGTCGTACACCTGTCCTGCCGTACTTACTGTACTGCCCTCGCCGCCGCGGGGCAGCTGGCGTTCGGCGCATCTACACCACACCTTACATAATTACCACCAGCTGCAGCAGCACCAGCAGCACCAGCCTGCAGCCGCCGGAGCGGCAGCAGCGGCCTGCCCCGGGGGCGGCAGTACGTGCCCCGCGAGCATGACTACAGCCAATGGGGGGGCGGCAACTCTGCCGCCGCTGCCGCAGCAGCAACAACCCCCTCTGCATCCACACGGCGCACGGCCGCGACAAAAACCGCGGCTGTTGCGGCGCTTATGGTCAGATCTACGGTACATGGCGTACGGCGCCGTCATGCCGTACAAGTGGGCACCCATCCTGGCGGGTCTCCTCAGCCCCCACATGTTCCTGCTCGCATGTCTGCCCTCAATGCAGTCTCTGGGCCTTATAGGGCCCTTCACGATACGGCTGTGGTCGTACCATGCTGCATGTGAGTCCCCCTTCCTCCTCCGCTGAATCCGTGTAGCAACTTTTATGCGGATCTGTACGGCTGATCCTGATCCTGTACAGTCTTTGTTTTACTCGTTCGCATAGGGCTTTTTTGTGTGTTTGTATGTATGTATGTATGTATTATGTATGTACATACCCAAGCCCTAACCCTAAGTAACCTTATCTTCTCCATGCCCCCAGCCCAGCCAACGTGTCCCACCCCCACCTCGCTCCCCAGGTCTCATCCTGACGGGTGCTGACCACCTGCTGCTGCTGCGACTGGCTTCGGAGCTGTGGCTGCGGCTGAGGCCTCGTGGTGGCGGACCCGTGGGTCGCAACCATTGGCGGCGGTGGCTGGCGCTATCCAAGTGGCTGCTGTGGGATGGATTCCTGGCCAGTGGCTGGGTGTTCAGGCGAGTACTGACGAGAGGCGGTGTTGGAGGGAGCAGCTCGACAGAGGGGAGTACGGACGGGCTGACGGCGCTCAGACACAGGCGGGCGGGCGGGCGGAATGGCAGCGGGGAAGAGACAGCGGGTTGGGGGAAAAGAGGGAAGAAGCTGTCGCGGAGCATGACGGTGTTGTCAGGAGGCGGCAGGATGCGCTTGTGCCACGGCCGGTCTGCCGTTTCTTCCGTCCTCCCGTCCTCTCCCCTCCCGTCTTGCCCTGGCAGCAGCTTCACTCGTTCGTGGTTCGTCTTTCCCCATCCCCTACCCTCCGTCTCCGTTCCTTTCCCGCCGCCCACCCCCCCTCCTGACCTCACTCCGCCCATCACCATTGCCGCAAAACCGACACTTTAAACCCCAAGCACGAACACATACATACATTCATTCATTCATTCATTCGCAACCCGCACTGGGACGCCAACCTCTCCACAGGGCGGTGGTGATGGGCATCCTGACCACCAAACAGATGGAGCTGTGGAACCACCTCTACGGCGCCTCCTTCAAGCCCCACCCGCTCCTGTCCTTCTGTCTGGTGCTCCCCGCCTCCTGGGTGACGGCCTCCGCGGCCTGTAGCGCAGTGTGGCGGCTCACCGCGGGGTACCAGCCCACATCGGCACCGCTGCTGCTGTTCCAGGTGGGTTGGCCGGCCGGCCGGCGGCCGGCCGGCATGTGTGTGTGTGCGTGTGCGTATGTGTGTGCTGCTGATTTTAGCAGGGGCCAGGAGCTGGCGAGGATGACAAATGAATAATTTCACCGATTGAAATTGCACGCATGCATGTATGTATGTATATATGTATGTGTGTGTATGTGTATCACACTGTCTTGTATCGCGTAAGTATTTGTCTCCGACGGGGGGGTCTGACACCATCATGCCCAAGGACAGCTGCACTGCCTCGCCCCAGAGCCTCTACCCCCGTCTCCCCCCCGGGGTGTCGGGGGGAGGGGAGGCGGAGGGGGGGCCGGAGGGGTGTTAGGGGCTAAGGGTTTTGCGGCACCGGGTAGTGTCGGGTGCTACCGGTAGCACCAGGCGGCCCCGCGGACGGGAACAGATCGCTTCGGCTCGACAGCATACGTGTCGGTGACATCGGGGGGAGGGCCCGCGGCAATCTCCTGGGCTGCACCTGTACCCTCTCTCCCTCCCTCCCTCCCTCCCTCATTGAATTACGTGTCACTGCGTCACGTGCGCTGAGAGTCAAGCAATGCGTCGCCGTCTTTTTGCTTCCCGCGCCGCCGTGCTAAGAGCTTAATTAAAGGCAGCAAAGATTCATATGGCAGTCAGTATATACTCATCGTTAGATGTTTGAGTGTATTTCTGTATGTTATGTTGTACGTCTGTATGTATGTATGTATTGTGTAATGCGTGTGTGTATACGCGCGCGCGCGCATATATGACGCAGGAGGGCTTTCTTTCCGGCCTGTCCTCGCCGCTGTATTCCCTGGTCTACATCTCCTTTGCGGTGTTGGGGCTGGGCGGAGGGGGTGTGGGCGGCGGTGCGGGCGGTGTGCTGGGCCTGGCCGCTGCGGGCTCCCGCCTGCCTCTGTGGCTGCTGGACGCGGTGGCGGTTTCCCCCCTCCTGACGGTGGTGGCACTGGACGTCCTGTGGAATATGGACACGGCGGCCAGGGCCACGCCGCTGCTCATGGTGGTGCGTACTCGTGGTGGTCTGCAGGCCTGGGCGCCTCCGTTCCTTTCCCTTGAAGAGAGGGCGGCTGTAGAGGGAGGCCGGCAGCAGCTCCCATAGCCTCCTGTGCGGGCCGGCACCTGTCCTGTCTTATTGCTGTGTTTCGTTTTCCGTCCACATCACCTCACGTCTTGTGTTGTCCTCCTTCCATACTCCCATCCCCACCGAAGCCAAGAACCCTCACGTTTCCCTTCCTCTATTCCATACGCTCTCAGTAATGAAGCAGCCGCCCTCTCTTTTACACACGCCCGCCCGTCGAGTATCCGTCTGTCTTTGGTATTTGTAGCTTCAAGGGTCAGTGGTTGACCTCACGGCCCCGCTGCAGGTCGTCAACGCCCTGAGAGCGCACCAAGCGCAAGACGACGCAGCCGCCGGCCGCGCGTTCGGCCGCCGTGGCAGGGGCCGGCGCTGGGGCGGCGCCGGAGGGGCCGCCGGAGGCGATGACGCTGACGAGCAGGACTGGGTGCCCCCCCGGGCGCTGGCGGTGCGTGACGGTGCCGCGGCAGTGAAGCAACATACGAGTTTGTGGATGATGCTGGATTCGGCCCGATGGTGGGCGCATCACGTGCGGGACGTGATGGAGGAGGAGGCGCGCATGATGCGGCAGCAGCAGCAGCAGCAACCCCCGCATCCCCCCGGGCATCATCCGCACATGGACGTGGCAGGGGGGCCGCCGGAGGCTGGGCTGGGCGCGGCGGTACCTGCGGCGATGGACGACGGCGCCGCCGTCGCCGCTGCACTGTTGCGCGAGCGGGCGGTGTTTGTGGTGGCTCGTCTGGCGCTCGCCGCCCGCAACGCGGGGATGGTGGAGCTGCCACATCGCGTGATTGCGGGGATGATGGCAGCTATGGTGATGCCGCTGGGGGAAGAGGCGTGGCCGCCACGGCAGGTATGTGCCGTGTATGTCTGCACGTCTGTGTTTTGGCGGCCTACACCGGCCCTGTGAGAGGGGGGAAAGGATGCCGGACTCTATTTCCCTTCTCAACAACATTTTTTCAAAACCCTGCAACACCTTGAACACCCAATTTAAATCTCCGCTTCCCCCCGCCGGCTTTCAGGGGGATAACGTACGCGCGGTGGACCTCCTGCTAGAGGCGGCAGCGGTGCCAGGGCCGGCCCCGCGCGGCGGCCGTGCAGGTGGCGGTGGTGCGGCAGCTGGGGCTGGTGGCGGTTTCGGAGCCGGGATCGGGGGACCGGGAAGGGGCGAGGATTTCGACTTGGACATGGACATGGACGGCGTGGATGAGGTCCTCGGGAACGGCCCCCTGATGGGACGGAGGGGGGCGGTCGGGGACGGCGAAGGCGCTGGGGGTGAAGGGATCGGCGATGGTGCAGGTGGCGGTGGAGGAGAGGAGCGTATGGTGCGTACCTCGGACGGCACGCTGCGGCCGCTGTCTGCGCTGGAGGCGGAGCTGCGGGCTGGGCTGGCGCAAGTGGCAGGTGGGGGGCACCGCGTGGGATGGAAATGAGTGTGGCGTCAAGCGGGAGGCGTGCGGAGAGGAGAGACTTTGCATGTGTGTACGCGGTGGTCCGCCTTGGCGGCCTTGCTGCGCGGGGCTATGGTGTGTGGGGGGGGGGCGTGGCCTGGTTTCCACTGCAATCCCCATGTTGGGGTGGGGTGCTGGGGCAAGTTTTGGGAAGGCGGATATGCGTATGGCATATGCACGTGCATGGATGCTGAGGGCAAGGGCCTGTGGCAGCGGTAGCAGAGTGAGTGTTTTGATAGGGCACGAGCGTCGACGGCAGCCTCAAGTCCGCCTAAAGTCTCCCATATGTCCGTCCCGCCCTTCTCCCGGGTAAAGTTCCCCGGGAATATAGCTTTTACGGCACTTGCATGGTTGCTTTGTTGACACGCCGACTCTGTCGCCTTTTGGACGTCGGCAGGTGACGATTTTGCTTATCGCTTTTTTTCAGCATGTCATTATCCCCCTCTCTCCTCCGGTTCACACTCCCTCGTGCAGCGCTCCGCGCCCAGCTCGCGGCCGTCGGTCGCGGCGTGGCTGACCTGCTGCTGCTGGGCCGCTGGCCGCCTCCTCTGACGCTGCCCCCGGAGGCGCTGTGCTGGTGCGAGTCGGTGCCCCACGGCTTCCTGTGCCCCATCACGCACTCCCTGATGACGCAGCCGGCCCTGCTCGTGAGTCCGCAGCTGAGTGAGGCCAGCCCCACCTACGAGCTGAGTGCCATTCGGCAGTGGCTGAGGAACAACAGGTAGGGTGAGGGAGGGGCCGGGAATGGGGGGGGGGGATAAAGGGACTGCGGGTGGGCGGGAGGGGACGGGGTGGTGTGAGGTGGTGAAGGGCGGTAGGGTAGGGAGAGCAGGAGGGAGGAGAGGCCAGGGGGGAGGTAGCGGCGTGGAGGGTGTTGGGCGAGGAGGCGCCAAGAGGGCTAGGTGGGAGGGCTTCTGGCAGAGGGCGAGGGTCGGGAGGCGGGCGGTTATCATCCTCGGAGAGGCGGTTGTCAGAGCTGTCGCAGGTTGTGTCGTCTGGTGAAGTCATGGGCTTGACATCCTCTTCATTCTTGCAGCCCGTATAGTCTTCCCCCCCCCTTTTCCAGATCAGTGGTTCGTCTTTCCCCCCTTCCAGACCCCACAGAGAGCTGCACCGCCCTCTCTCTCCCTTTGGTTCTCTCAGGACGGACCCCACCACCGGTCGCTACCTGCACACGTACCACTTCATCCACAACGACAACCTGAGGAAGGCCATTGAAGACTGGGTAGCTGACCGCTTGGAGCGAGAACGACAGCAAGAGCAAGAGCGGACACAACAACAACAGACACCTGTGCCGCAGCTTCTTGGGCACATCCGACCCGCTCAAAGGAGCGCCGGCGTAGCGGCAGCAGCAGCAACACCTGGCCACCATCACCACGACCATTTCCTGCGGTCGCCACCTCGACAACGGCTGCTGCAACGATCTCCTGCAGCAGCAGCAGCAGCAGTAACGGATGCGGGTGCGGTGCCGACGAGTGGCGGGTTATTGGGGGGTCGGTATCATCCAGTGGCGGGCCCAGGGCCGGGGCAGCGTAGCGTGTGTGTTGGTACCTCGGAAATGGGGCTGAGGATGCAATCGCCGGAGCGGTTTCGGAGCGGTGGCGCCGGTGGTACGACCCAGTTGGCCGGTAGGAGCCGCTCACGGGGCCGTTCGCGATCCCGCGGACGGGCGCTGCGGCCGCCATCTGGAGGCGACCCGGGAGGCGACGGTGTGGCGGCGGCGACGGTATTGGCGCGGCAGGCGGTGCAGCGGGCGGCGTCGCGGCAGCGTGGCTTGCAGCGTTCCCAGCCCCAGTGAGACCGATGGCTGAGGAACGGTATGTGGGGCCCGGGATATGGGGTGTGGGTCCAAGAGAAGAAAAGGAAAGCCGCTTAATCAGACAAGACGCTAACCTCGGACACTGGGGGAGCTGCCCCTGCCCGGGAAGAGGGGTTTGAGGTAGGTACTTAGACCGCGGGCCAGCGCATTGTCGTCAACATGCGGGCCGCATAGCAGCTTGGCGTGGAGAGGGTGAGGCGGACAACGGACATTCGGGTCGACATCTCTCATGTACCCATGCACCCGTCCAGCTCTCACAAATCACGCAATTCATGAACTGCGCGATGACGGGGGGAGAAATGTTGACATGGCGTACCTGGAGGGTGTTCCGCTGAGAGAAAGAGGATCGGGAGGAGGAAGAGAGGGCGTTGCCGAGCTGGGTTTCGCGGGCTGGCGAGCGCACGGTAGTGCACAGAAGAGGCTTCAGTTTTGATTGGGCAGTAATGGAGGGATGGGGAAGGATAGGGCTTTGGAAAGACCTTGAGGTTGAGTTACATGATAGTGACAGTGCCGTGGCTATGGTGGTTGGAAAAGTAGGGCAAACTTTCCATGAAGGCTGTAAATGATGAAGGGGTGGGATTGCCGGGAGGAAGAGGAGGCGAAATGATTTAAGAGAGCAGCGTAGGTTGGTACACCTTAACTCCGACACCCAACACCTTAACTTGGACATCCATGGCATCATTTGTTTTTAATATGTGTCGAGAGTGGGGGAAGCGTAGGTCGGGTAGCGGGAGGATTCAGCTGGGGCTTTGGATTGAGGCAGCGTCCTAGACGGAACGTCTTGTGGGTTGGCATGAGAGCGCAGCTTTTTACCTGCACTTGAATGTCGCAAGTGGCTTCAGCGGTGTGAACTTTGGCGGCAGGTTGCACAGCGCCTTCGCGTGTATTTTGGCGGTGCATATTTCGATCTGACTGTTCCATAGATGTGTTGGCGCACATGCCACACTTCTGCGGGGCACAAGGCTATACGTGTATGTTCACTGCCCGGCACCAACTTCACCTCTCGAGTACTGCCTACGCCACTGCTCGTGGACGCATGCGCTGTAGATGTTGGTAGCTGTTGCAAGCAGGTGGCCTCCAGGCCATTATGGGCATTGACAGTTATGAATAACTGGTTTGCGGGTCGAGGCGAGAGGGAGAGACGCTTACTGGGAGTCACAGACGGGCGATGAACGGGAAAGACGCTAAAGGTATGGAAATTGTACCGCCCAGCATGTTTGATGAGGCTGTGCTGTCGTATACGGTTGTCCTGGGGTGGCTGTCTTTGTATAAATCAATTGACTGTTTTGGTTTGCATATGCCGGTTGAACAGGAAAATATTTAGCACGGAGGGAGGCGAGGCGGCAAAGCAGATAAGCCGTCGGGCCAACGGTCGTGCGTCCAACATCCTCCGTATGCGTCCTCCTACAATAGCCGTATCTTTGGAGTATTTCATGAATGTATATTATCACTAGCAGAGCATATGTGATATCCGGGATCGGATTTTGGTACCATTTCGACCGCAGGACTCTCGATCTTGCACAGCCGTGCGTGCAGCGGTGGCACCCAGGCAACCCTCGGAAGCGGAGTTTTTTGCCACCTCGGTTTGTTTTTGTTGCTCCACCTTCGTGGGGTATTTGACGCCTTGGTTGATTGTAAGAATTCAACTTGGTGGTGTTTGAAAGGCTATTTGGTCCTCATAAGACCATCTGCGCGACTGCGTTCTTGAGACCATAGGAGATGGCGCGCGATGTCCTTGTGGCCCCTCTAATTAGCAAACGACACTTACGCAAGCATGTGTTATGAGGCTAAGAGGAGGCCAGGGATTTCATTCGTTTTCGGATGTGAGCTTCATGAAAGCTCGGCTCCAGCAGGCTCTTGTATGCACTTGCTTTGTCAAAGTTACAGCCAGGTTTTACGCGACAGCATCCACTCCTGCGGAAAATGAACTTCTACAGCTTTTTCTGTAGCCATTTACACAGGCATAGGTGCACAGGTACCGCCGCCAAACTGATGATGCACAGCCGGGGAGCTGGTACAAGTAGACAATGTCCTCGCCACCTTAACCACCGCCTACCCTACCCGCCAGCCCGCGTAGACGCCGGTCCCAGCCTACCTAATCTCTCCCACCCATGCATCAGGGCAGAATCATTCACCTTCAGCGTACTGTTGAGAGGTTAATTTGCACTATTTGGCTCATAGCAAGTTGCCTCCAGCCCGGCCCAACATGCAGCACACGCCTGCAAAGACAAGCCAACCCCCATGGCCCCCCACCGCTGCTGGACGTCAGCTTTAGCCCACCCTCATTCTCCCCGTGGGGGAGGCAGGAAACGCACCTGCATCTCTTACAACCCAGCGACCAAGACGCTCGCCATCCAACACCGACACCACAAGTAAGGTCGTGCGCCAAACTACTTCCACCGTCTGCAAAACGGTCCTCCAGTTATACACCCGTCGCCGCGCCTCTAGCCCTTTTTCCACTCCCCAACCCCTAATCTTTTACCCAGCCGCCAAATGACTCGTGCGTAGCCCCATGCATGCCAAGCCATCCCATCCCCCTCGGCTTTTACGCCTCCAACGCTGCCCTGTGTAATGAATTTCCGCTTTGGGCACGACAACTCCATAAACATGCGTGTACTCCGTCCGAACACAGGTATGAAATTAAAGACGCAAAGAGCGAGTATGGCGCAATGCCACAACGTTTCTCCTCAATCATCAACCTACTCCGCCAGCATCCGCTCGCTATCCACGTTATCGTGGTCTTCCACATCCGGCGCGCCCCCGCGGGGCCCTGGTGCACCTCCCCGGTCCTTCTTGGACAGACCCGACACGATGTCGTCAATTCGCAGCAGCATCTGAGCGCTCTCGATGGCGGTCTTGATAGTCTGCGCCTTGACCTGGGGCCATGGCAATCAGGACCGCAACCACAACAGTTAAATTCATAACAACGACCGCAACCCAAATGACGCTTGCTGGCAACACGTCCACATCAGCGGTAATATTAAAGACAAGGGAGGAAACTGCGTTGCTGGGACAGAGGGCGGGAACAAGGGATGAGGATGCTCACGGTCGTCCGGCTGCCTGAATCAGCAGCTCTACTAGCCCTCAACTCCTCGTCTCACCTGATACGGCTCCCACACGCCCAGCTCCTTCATGTCCTTGACCTCGCCCGTCTCGCCGTCAATACCCCAGCTGCACCCTGGCGACTCGGCGTGTTTGGCGCGCAGCTTCGTGAGCGTGCGGATGACATTGGCGCCGCAGTTCTGGGCGAGCGTGCGCGGAATGACCTCCATCGCAACGCCTGGACGCAAGAGAGAACGTACGCGGATAAAGTGGAAAGGCACCACGACAAAAGGGCTTTGGTAAAGTGTTTGCGAACAGGGTTGGAACAAGGAGGTGTATGGGCAAATAGAATAATGTGGACGGACACGCGCGAAGGGTCCGCCCAGCCGAGCGGAAATTCGCATCCAAAAGTAACTGTCATTACTATCGGCCACTAGTGCAACTTTCACAATGGGTTATATATACCACTGGCCCGCGCGGACTGTGACCCCAAAAGGAAGCGGGAGCGACATCTTGACAGACACGGCGGGACACCACCCAACCCGGTCACCCAATCAGCTCACCACCAGCCCACGCAGCCTAGTCCGTGGCTGGGATGCACCGACTGCAAATTGCACAAGCACGTACCTACTGCCTTGTATGGCCACTGCTCCACACCCTCGACCGTTGCGGCGCGCTCAGCCAAGCCGTGGCTAATGGCCATCTCACAGGCGCCCCCTCCGGGAACCAGCCGCGGGTCCAGGCAGATGTTACGCGCCACGCCCATAGCATCTGTCAAGTTGCGCTCCACCTGCGATTATTACGGTGAGCGGGCCGGCGGTGTAGGAGGAGGTGAAATACTTGTAAGGCAGCTGCCCCAACACATACACATCGATAAGTGTGAACCTCCCCTCGTCACGATGTCCATAAATCCCGAAACTAGACACGTCCGCAATCCGGCGCACGGAAAGCCACACACCAATCGCCATGCCATGCCATGCCACGCCCCCACGCACAGCGCTCCGCACCTCGTTCAGAATGTCCTTGGTGGCTCCCCGCAACAGCACCGTGCAGGCCTTCGGCGCCTGGCAGTCCACGATGAAGGTGAAGAACTCGTCACCAATCTTAACCACCTCGAACAGACCAGCACCAGTGCCGATGTCCGAGTCGCGGATCTCGTCGGTCCTGACACGATATCGAAAATGAAGCGCAGGAGAACAGCGGGCGGTGACTAAAATCAGTAAGGAGGACCCGCAGGGAGGAAGCAACCACCAGGTTTAAAAGGCAAGGCGAGGAGGGGTAATGGGGGACTAGGCGCAGAAACGGTTAGGGAGCTTGGGTAAAACGGCGCATGATTACACCGACCCACACTCCAACTGGCCCCCTCCTCATTCATTGGACCCATCTTCCCACCCACCAGCTGGCTTTGCTCGCCTGCCAGTTCCCATCCCAGCGATCACACCTAGCGCAGCACCCACCCACCCACCTACCGGTTCACGATGGTGGCCCCGCACGCCCGTGCGATGCGGTTATTGTCCGTCTTGCGCAGCCGGCGGATGGCGGACACACCCGATTTGGTGAGGTAATGTGCCGCCAGGTCTGAAAGGCCCTTCTCCGTAATGACAACGTCGGGCTTGAAGGCCAGGATTTGCTCACACTGGCGCTGAATCTGCTCCTCCTCCTGCTTCAGAAGGGCCGCCCTGCAGGGGAAAATGGGAAGGAACGAACATGAAAATGGAATACGAAGAGGAAAGAAGAGGAAAGGGGCATAGAGGGAAGGGCAAACAAAACATGTCGAGAAGCAAAACATTTGCTTATTACCAACTAATACCGCAGTACTTACACTTCCTGGGTTTCCCTACTATTTCCACCATGCCTTGGTACTGCAAGGGACAAGCACCGTCCATAGCAGCAAACTGTTCGCCCCTGTTCCCCCTTCCCTCTGAAATCTTCTTCTCCTCCTCCTCTTGGCCGTTCTCAAAGCCTCCTTTCCTCACATATCCCGCCCGCCCACCCCAGCCACATCCTCCCACACAGGATCCACACAAGACGCGCTCTTCCGCACAGTTCTCCAGGCCCTTCTCTCCCGCCTGTCAAACCACGCCCCTCTTCACCCTGTCCCCCTAACACCCATCTGCAAACTGGCATAACCTCCGAGAATCCCCAATTTCCTAAGACCGGAGCCCCGAATTCCTCCACCCAGGAGGGTGGATATACATAATAGGACTCCCTCCAACCAGACCCCACCAGTCCTCCTCCTTGGTGAGCTCCACATTGGTTTGGTTCTCGCCCTTCTTGTACTCCAAGGGGCAGTCCAACAGCAGGATACGCGGGTTGGCGATGCGCCGCCGCATGCGCCCCGGAACCACCACGTCCTTGTTGAACATGACACCTGGTTGGGATTAGGGATCGCGGTGATGATGATTACGACGCAAGAGGTTAGTTGAGGGGAATTATACACGAACAATATCAATTTAGGGTTATGCAAACGATATGCGCGAGGCGGCTGCAGAGCTGCTTCCCTAAACTAGCCCCTCAGCTTGGGCCCTCCTAGCCGTGCCAGAAGGCAATCCAGCAGACCGAACAAACCAAACCAAACGCACAGACAGAACAAGGCTGCACCCCATACTGCACTACTCACTGCTTGAGAATGGCGACAGCCGCACGCAGACCATTTCAACCCCACCCAACCGCCCTCAACACCCGCTAAATGCAACAATGTCTACAGTCCAACAATGTCGACTACTTGCTTCAGCAAATGTTTCTCCCGTGGCGTCTCCACCAGTACTTTCTTCTCACGGCTCTGTTTAGAAACACACACCATCGACGCCATAACATGGATCCAACAGCCACGTGCACAACGCGAGGCCACACATCACCGTCTCCCGAACCGCGCTTTCCGGGCAGCAGCCCCCTTCCCCGGTACCTCTTCTGAAAACAGGCTGCTTGAGAAACCGACTTTCGCCACTTGGTCCGTGCGGCAGTCATGTGCTACACAGTGAAAGCTGCCGAGACCGACCGGGCGGCACTGAGAGGGTGGGCCCCTCTTCACGCACTCCCCACAAAACCCACTCCCAAATTCATAATCAACCCCAAGAATTAAACACCCTGGCTCGACCAGACCTGCGCCAAACCTGCGACATCAATTCATAAGAACCTCACGTCGTCATGAGGCTGAACTCTTCAGGTACTTACGAAACTGCTTTCTCTTTTTCCCAATCATCCTCCTGGGCAGCGTCCGTGTTCACTTTTCGCACTGATCTGCACCACATCTGCATTCATTTGTCCTTCACAATGACCCGGTACCTAAAATGACAGTTCCTTCATGGCTACCTCTTGCTGATGGCGCCCTCCCCTCGCCCGCAGTGTCCCCCGGCCAAATGATTCCGGTAAGGTGTCGGGTCATTCAATTTGTTGACGAACGGATCCCTCCACAAGGGCCGCCAGGCGCCCATACATCCCATGCCCTGGGAGCAGCCCCAGGCACTGCCTGTGACTGCTCAACTCTCGAGTTCCGGTATAAGCTTCCATCGTCCACCTCTATATTGTCCTGGAATCCTCTCGTCAAATTTCAAACTGCTAGGACACCGTCAATACAACCCCTGTCATGACTTTAGGGTGCCCTGGCAATTGCACATGTGCATACTCCCACATAGCTTATGGACCAGAATCCGGCCCTTGCTACGCACGCTTGTATGAACTCCGAAACTTACCCTTGAGTACTCTGCAGTCCTCGATTGTCCCTCCGGGAATCTTCTCCACTTTGGCGTAGTTCTTAATGTCGATTTCCTTGGCGCCACCGCCCAGATCCACCGTCACTGTCCGGACGGCGTCGAGGGCCAGCTCCTGTCCGTTCAAGTACACACATGCAATTTCATCCGGAAACAGATTAAACATTTGGATCAGTCAGTAGAGTTCACGGCGGCTAAGGTTGCGCAAGGTGAAATGAAGTTGCTGTCGACAAGGCTGGGCTGGAGGATAGGGGGTGGAAAAGGAAATCCTGGGTAAAAGTTGTGCAGATAACCCCGTATACAATTTACGTGGTGGGCTTTGCCCCAACCCCCATGGCACGTCGGACGCTTGGTTCATGGCGGCGTCAACCATCCGCCCAACCCAAGCACGCCCCACTTGCAACCCACCGCCATGAGCGTGCCGAAGCGGTGAGTGAACTTGGTGCCAATGCAGCTGTTGACAACGTTGAGCATCTGCTGCCGATTCTCTGTATCGATAGGAAAGGCTAGCTGGTCGATAAGTTTCACCGAGTCCTCGAGCGCTCGTGCAAATCCACGCACAATCACGGTCGGGTGGATGTTCTTCTCCAGGAAAGGCTCCGCCATCTGCAGCATCTCACCGGCTGCATGACCGTAAGGGGAGTACCACAAACCCATCGCCAAAAGGGGAAAGAGCAGTTAGTCCCGTACCCGATCACGTACCCTCAATCAGTAATGCTTAAAGACATACCAAGAATAATAACGGATGTGGTGCCGTCGCCCACCTCCTCGTCTTGGGTCCGGCTAAGCTGGATCATCGACTGCGCGCCAATTGAGCCCGCCGTAAGACGTAGGCCCTTTCGGCAGCACCAGCCCTCTAACATACCTTTGCCGCTGGGTGAGACACATCAATTTCACGCAGGATGGCATGCCCATCGTTCGTCAACACGATGCCGCCGTTGGGGTCTAGGAGCATCTTCAACATGGAACGCGGCCCAAGCGTTGTGCGGATGATGTCCGCAACAGCCTGTTGTGACGACAAATTTGTATGGTGACGAAAGCTTTACCAGCTGGCTGGTACGCTCGCAGGACGCACCTTAGCGGCGGCAATATTTGCAAATTGTGCCTTCTTCCCTGTCTCCCGCTTCGTGCTAGCATTCAATACTGTAACTGGAACCTGCATTTTGATAGGCCTGTAATATGCTATCCCGAGCAAACCGAAGCGGAAGAGACCAGTTCGAAAGGTAGAACTTTCTACTGACCGACCAAGGTAAGGTGACGGCTACAGCAAGCGATAACAGCGTGAAGTCTTTCCAGTAGGCTATACGGAACAACTACATAACAGTCTCGCGTCGTGCCGTACCAATATGCCTTGTTGCAACCGAGTTACTGGCTGTTTTTGCTGTTAAGTAACATGCGCTATGTAACGATAATGTCTTAGATGCGATAGGCTTGTATTCCGTAGGCTCAGCGCGTTGGGCTGCTGCACTTCCATTTCTTGTCTGGTAGCATTATCATGGAAAAGTACGAGGACCTTGTTATTATTGGGTAGGCTAAATGTGTAAAGGATTTCTTATTTCCGCTGCCTGCCCTAACTGTGGCGGCCTCGCTTCGGCTCGCAGGCAGGGTCAGTATGGCACAGCGTTTCGGGCACGGGATAAGTATGATGGCCATCTGTATTGCATCAAGCGAATACCTATGTCTGCCAAGGTGCGATACCAGCAAGCCAGTAAGGGTGCTAAGCAAACGGATTGGCATGCAACCCGTCGACACAATGTCCCAAATCTGCGGAGTGCAGGATGACCACGCGGGGGCACTTCGTGAATCTCAGCTTTTGGACTCCCTTGATCACCCCAACATCATCCGGTATCGGGAGAGCTTTGTAGACAAGGACGGGGCGCTGTGCATTGTCACCTCCTTTTGCGAGGAGGGCGACCTGTTTACTCGAATCCGCAAGAAGGCATCGCAGAAGGAATATTTTACCGAGGAGGAGGTGATGAACATGTTTGTGCAGGTAAGACTTCGGCTTTTGGGTTGACTTCGAGATGTGTAAACAAACCGAACAGACATATGTCCTGCTGCAGATTGCGTCGGCTCTTAGCTACATACACTCAAAGCGTGTTCTTCACCGCGACTTAAAGACCCAGAATATCTTCATAGCTCGGGGCGGCATTATCAAGCTGGGTGACTTCGGGATCTCCAAGGTGCTCGAGCGCACGGACTCGTTTGCTACAACTGTTACGGGAACACCATACTACATGGCCCCAGAAATTTGCACAAACCAGCCATACACGTACAAGAGCGACATCTGGTCGCTGGGCTGCGTGTTGTATGAGCTCTGCACCCTCAAGTGAGTGCAAGGGTGCTAATAGGAGCGAGGCTTGGAGGGTCGCATGGCAGCTGCAGAGGCGTGACGGGGGCACCTGAAATGTGCTTCAGGGGCCAGGGCTGTAAGGCAACATGCCGGTCCATATCTCCGCAGTTCTCCTTTGGCACAGCTCATCGTATTACACCTTGCACCAATATGCTGTGTTTCGGTGCTGCCATATAATCCTTTCCTTGTAGTGTTGACGCTCCAATTATCTTACGTCACGGATGTGCGTATGTCGTACAGGCACGCCTTTGCTGCCGACAGCCTGCTCTCGCTCGTGTACCAGATCGTGCGTGGCAACTTTCCGCCTATCCCAACTGATCAGTTTAGCTCAGGTTTGAGCGACCTGGTCAACCGCCTTTTGGCGAGAGATGCCACCACACGGCCTTCCCTTGGAGAGGTGGGCCTTTGGGTGGCCTTGGGGCTTGTGCTTATGCGCTGGGCCGGAATGGCCGACTGGCTTCAAGTACGGATATTGTTTGAAGTAGCTATATGTGCTTGCAGACTGTCAGCTGATCTTTTGGTTCCCATTTTGATGCATTTTGAGGCAGGTTTTCAAGATGCCGTACGTGCAACGGCACCTAGGTCGCTTCAAAGCTGAGGAACAGCAGCGCAACATGAAACAATCGATTAGCTTGACTCGCAGGAAGCAGCTGCTGGATGCTGCGCCAGGTGCAGAGGCCTACGGGGAGGTGAGCTCGCAGCTTGCCGTGCGTTGCCTGCCACGATGGGTGCACGCGTCGCCAGCTGGGTCCGTGCCGTGCATACGGAAAGGCTGATGCACGTCTGCCCTCAACAGGTTATGCGTTATGCTCAGCACATCGCAGCAACGAGTAAACATGTTCTGCATAGTGAAGCCTTACCCTTCTGGGTAGATTCCACTTTCCGTCTCAAAAACAATGGCCTCTGGACTACTACAGTGCATACGATTGGGCGTGCGTGAGTGAAGAATGCGTGCCTCTGTCGATATCTTGTGCTTCAGAACGACGCGAACTTGACCCCGAAGCAAAGAATGGAGCGCAAGAAGGCCATGGAACGGGAGAAGGAGATGCGGAGGATGAGCGTCGCGGCCATGGGCGCCAACAAGAATCGCGTGCAAGCGGCTGCACGCAAGAGGGAACAGATTTTTGGCAACAACACGGGGCTGCCTGGCGCTCAGCCGTCGCCGCAGAGAGTCGACAGGGGATTTGAGGATGACGACTTACCGAACATGGGCACTGTGCGGATTGAGGAGACCGTGCGTGGCCCGCCCACTCGGCCTGGCAATAAGGGTATTTGGGTCCTGGACGGCCCAGATTCAGGTGCTGTGGACCCGTACGCCGCAACGTTACCGTCCCAGGCACGGCTGCAGCAGCAACAAGGTACTGGTTTCGAAGGAAAGGGGGTTGCTGAACCGCAGTGCTGCATTGCACAATCCTGCGAGGGATGCATTGGCATGATAAGGCTTAAGGGATCCTGTGGGGTGACCGACCCAGATGAAACAGCTCCTACTGCATGGTGCGCGAGGTTTTACGGCTGTGGCCCCCGGGACAAGCACGTCGAGGGTGCAGCGCATACCATCTACCTGTGCTAGCTATCTTACTGTGGACCTCGTAATCGACTAACAGCAGTACGCCTGCTGTGCAACGTTGTCCTGTCCTCAGGGGCCGGTCAGCGGCCTCCCTCACAACAGGCGCCGTCTCGAGGACTGTCTGCTGGTGGGGCTGGTCGGGTCGGAACCTCGCCAGCTTCGCAGCAGTTTCAAACGCCAACCTTGGGGAACAATCGGGCTGCAGGAGGCGGAACAAACAACTGGGGCCTGGGGGATGATGATGTGCTCACGGGGACGGTCCGGGGAGGAGCAACGCAGGTTGGCTTGCAAGGTGCGCCTATTTTATTAATACCAGCCTTGTGCACGAATGCATCTATGCGTGGTGCCCATGTAGTCCCTGGTAAAATAATTGATTCTTGCGTCCTGTAGCATGCGGTCGCACACTATACCCCGCTCTCTATCTCTCACGCCAGCTCCTGTGTTCTCATTGCAGCAACCGCGGGCGCACTCGAGCAGGGCGCCCGGGGAGGCGCGGGGCAATGGGGAATGGATTACAACGGCGCATCGGTTCTTGGCGACGATATGCCCAACATGGGCACTGTGCAGATGACCAACGGTTATGGGATGCAGGGCGCTGCTGCACGGGGCCTGTACACGGCCGGCCTGCGCACTAATGCCTCGGACAGCCCATTGATGGGTTCGGTCAACTTAGGCAACAGCCGTACCATGCGTGCCACTTCAGCAGGACCTGTCGGGCTCTCGGGCGCAGGCAGCCCTGCTCGGCCGCCCAACGGCACCGCATCAGATCGGTCCATAATGTCATCTAAGTCTGTAGGAGCCGCCACGCCCTCGCCGGACGTTCGCCGAACCTCCGGACCGAGTCCCCTGGCAGCACCTGCTTCGGCTGGTGCGAGAGGGCACCAGCAGCCGCAAGCGCAGTCGCCACCGCCGCTGCATGGGGGCGGCGCACGCCATCATCACCATCATGGCGACGACGATGATGACGGCGCCTACAGCGATGACTTTGAGGATGATGACGAGGATGAGGGCGTGGTGCAGCAGCGTAACCGCATTATTCAGAACGTAGAAGGTGTGTTTTGGAGTGCCTCAAACCTTGAGCGTAGACAGCTCCCCTTTTGGAATTGTGGCGTGTTTGCACTGGTGATGAATATGTGCCGTTCCGGATTAAATATTTGGGTCAAATGAGCGTGGCGCCTACGGCATGCATTTCCTGTTCCCGGCTTTGCTACCACCTTGGCCATGCACTTGGCACGCTGGGCAATGTTTTCACCTTCCTGTATTATCTTGTACCAGCGATGCGCGGGAACTCTCCCTGCTTTCCGTTGGCGATTACGATGACCATGTGTTCTCACCTTCATGCCTCGCTGCGCAGACATTGCCTCGCGTGCTTACGACGGCCGTGACAGCATAGCCGCCGTACAGGAGCGCGTCAAGCAGACGGGCGCAAACTCGGACAAGGCACGCGCCATCCGTCAGGGCTGTGAAGCGCAGCTGGGCAACAAATTCGCACCGGTATACGAGTACCTAAGCCGTGCGCGCCGCCAGGAGCCGCCACCCGATGAGAAGGAGGTGCAGCGGCGGCTGTTGGAGATTGTGGGCGACAAGGCGCGCATGCCGGGATGCTTCATGGTGGATCAGCTTGTGTTTACGGAGTCGATGTACTCGTGATGTCGGCACGACGGGCAGACCATTCAGGGAGCTGCAACTGCACAGTATTGGATTGAGGACACAGCCAGGCGGTAGCTGGCTGAGCAGGTGGCTTGTTGGCGTGCCAGGTGGAGCGACGAGGCGAGGGCATATGATTACACTGCGTTCGTTGTCAGGGGCTTCTTGCAGCGGATGAGGTGATGCGGTTAAACAGAGCAGTAGAAGCGCTAGCATGTTGCAGTCCATGGAGTGGAGGCGCAGGAGTGGACGCACAAACTGTGCAGCGGCGATTGTCTAAGACTTCAGGACCATGCTCAGCTCGTCCTTGCATTTTGTGTGGATTCGCTGCGAAGGCGGTATTTAGTGGGGCTCTGTGTGTAGCCTTTGAGCGGTGTGATATTTGTGCCACCAGCAATGGGGTAGCGCAGGTGTGGTAATATTCCAATGAGGTCGCACCCTTCCTACGCAGAAATGCGGTGCATGTGAATTCAGCATGCAGCACCCCGATTCCCTTAGGTACCTGCGCCAGGAGCGTTGATTCCGCACCCGCCGGCGTAGGTGACCTCCGGTTTCGGCTGAAGCACGCAGGCTACCAGGCAGGCTGGATCATGCAGGGGTAAGGGATAGTTATGGATACTTTGAAATATCGCGCTTAGACGCAACCGATTTATAGGTCTACCGGCATGGAGGCATTATAGACAGTACATGTGGTAGGAGTACAGGCTGACCCCGTCAGTGATTTCGGTGAGGTTTCTTTTGAATACGTCATTTTCGTGGCTTGGTATGCCAGAAGTCGCACTGAGACATTGGGGGAGGATCTCTTTCCCGACAGCACATAGATCTCGCTGACGTCGAGCGTGTGCATAATCACATAACTGGTGGGACCGTAAGGACATATGGTTATTCAGACAACGCTTTTGTCGGATGGTGCCCAGCGTTAAGAACCTCAGTCTCTCCAGTTTATAGCTAATACTTATGTAAGGAGTCCCTATTCACTCACGTTACATTCTGGTCCTCCGGCGTTTAGGACTTCGCTGCTGGAGTGCGACACGTTGAATGCATGGGTTTGATGGCGCAGCGCCCTCATGTCGTGTTGTACTGGCGGGAGGCATGCCGCCTCAGGTGTAGCAATGGCTACAAATGTAGGCCGAACGGCTCGCGCACAACACCCTAACGGGCGTCAACCGCACATTAAGGGCCGTACACGGCCAAGTACATTAGCCTCAATTAAAGTTCCTGGTTGATGGGACTATAGCAAACTAGCTAGTCATACCCCTCAGGAGGACAGACGTGGTAAATTTCGAATAACCTCCTCAAGGCAGCGACCCAGGGGTCGGCGTCAGCCGCGAGGGCAATGGTCTTCCAGTATCCATCCGAAATAAATATCATGACCACAGAATCTAAGCGTTAATTCAGTGGTTACTCGCGATTAAGTGCCGGTGCCTCTCAAGACAACGTTACAAATTTTTACAGGAAATGCAAGGAGCGCGAAGCGCTTTGAAAAAAACTATCCATAGTTCCCGAATGAATTGTTGTGTTATTGCGCAAGATTCCCTTATTCGTGGCGTTGGTGTCCTCATACAACGACTTGGAACGGCGTTGACTAACACCTGCAATTTTCAGCGATGTTTCGGGGAATCCAAAACAAGACGTGACTCTATGCAATTGCATAATGTTTTACAGCAGCTAGATAACTTCTACATACAGACACATACCTTCCATGATTCGCCAAGCCTAGTGCTTGCCGGTATAGGGTCTGGAATGTAGTGATCTAATTGTCTAAAGCTCGTACAAACCTGAGACGGCGTAGGAACACCTAAAGATGGCAGAAAAGGAAGGCGGGTTTGGGCAGAACGTTCTTGGCAAGCTTAAGCTTGTCGGTGGCAAGGTCGTCGACTTCGGTGGCACGGTAGCTGGAAGAGTTGCGGATGTTGGAGGCACTGTCGGCAACAAAATCGGAGACTTTGGAAACAAAATTGTGGATGTGGCCACCAAGCCGTTGTTCGAGAGCGACTTTGAGAGGCTCAGGCAACTAAATCAGATTGCCCAGCAGCAGCAGGACCTCCGGCGGAAGTATACTGAACAGGAGCTTTTGGCAGTGGAGGCACGGGCGGACTTGGTACTCGGGCAGCTGTACACAGGCTACTTTGAGCCAAACTTTGACCCAGTTGCACATGAACTCTCGAAGCTGACGGACTCGGATAATCAGGACCACATTGACGAGTTGGTGGAGCGGCTGACACAGGGCGTGGAGGTAAGGGAGGGGGCGGGGAAGCGCAGATTGAAGCTTTGCACGCGGGATCGGATGCCAACCTGAGCATTCAGGGCGGCATGCGTGCCTGCACCAGGCATGCACATGCGCGTGACTCTACCCTTCGGCACGTTTCATGATAGCAAAGGCAGTGAGGCTGGGTGAGGCGGTGAGGCAGCACACCGGACGTACTGCGCACAGTCCGCTCAGGCTTCCCACCTGTACTGCTCCAGTCCTAGTCATCTTGTGGTGTCAGCGATCCTGCTTTCCCACAGCTTGATTTCCGTACGGCACCATAACATTAGCTCAGGGTCTCCGAAGGTTTTTGTGTGTGTGCATAATAGGTGTATGCGTGTGTTACACCTCGGTTGCGTTACCCAGAGAGGCGTAACGAGCCCATACGAGCTATCAGAGGCCCAAGAGCATAGGAGCCACAAGTTAGGTTTACGGGCATATGTAGTATAACACAAAAGTTACAGTGCCCAAGCAATATGTGCACAAGAGAAACAAGGATGCTAGTTAACTCCGACCGCCTGTGTAGAGACGAGCGTGTAAGCCAAATGCTGTGTATCAGGTGGGCCAATTTTGTTTTTAATTTGGCTTGGCTAAGGAGTAATCCTCTTGTCCGAGCACTCACGACATGCAGAATAAGCAGGGCGTTGTCGAAGAACATGATGCTCATCTTCCACCTACTATGGAATTGGGTCTATGAGCCTCGGGCCTGTGCAGCTGGGCTGCGCAGCATTGGCCTAAAAGCTAGACACACTGTTGGCGTCACGCATGATGGTCCTTCAATAGGGCACTTACGGGTACACGCGCATGCCCAAGCCCAAGTTATATTTGAGCCGTGCTCCTGTCAAGGATGGATAACTGCTCACCTAGCATTTCCCTTCACAATCATTTAGCATTGCCCCTGCAATTTGCCTGCAATCGTGGGTATTAAGTTAAAAGAAGTATGTAGTACAGCTGGGCAGGGGCTTGGAATGATGTCCCGCGTATGCCTGTTTGGATGACCCACCATGTCGTCTGGCGTACCACCTCCATGCAGACTGTCAGTGGTCGTCTGTCTCGCCACGTTAACAAGAAGCGGGATGTGCTGCTGGCTGGCATAGACCGCGTTGCTGAGGTGCGCTAGGGTGGGCAAGTGGCGGGGGTTTGGAGGCAGAACCGTGGGACACAACTGCCGAGGGCTTAGAATGCAGTTCATTCACGATGGCCCATGCAAGCTTGGCAGGCGCCCTGGGCCACACACTGCGGCACACGTGCCCGCAACGCTTCCAGCCGCGCTGGTTCGCGGGCTTCCTTGCCGAAGCGTTGGCTCGGTCATTGATTGGATGGGATTCAGCCGCCATGGCAAGCCGAACAAATACATTGCTACGGTCATTCCTTCCACATCTGCAGCCTATGCGACCTAACGTAAACAACTTGCCTATGGGACGTCTATGTGTGGGTGGATGGGGGTACCGGTCCCTTCGCTGCTGTTTCGCTGCTGTTGTGATTATTGCTACAGATAGAGGATGACCTGAAGGCCGCCTTCCTCATTAGCCGATCCAGCCGGGCCACACTCAAGGCGGCGGCCGAGGAGGTGCAGCGCAACATGCGGGTGGTGGGCCAGACCCGCCGCAAGCAGAGCTTCATGGAGCTGATGGAGGTCATTAGCAAAATTAAACGGGCGCGCGACCTGCAGCACTCGCTAAAGTAAGTGCCTTCCCTTTGGGCAAGGGTGTCCCGGTGTCGCCGCCGCAACGGGGGGACGAAGGAGAAGACGGTCAAAGGCGGGTGTTACCGCACGCGAACGCGAATACCAGAAGGGGAGGGCGGGGCAGCCAAGTGGAAGCCCAACCCAGATGCGGCCGGCTAGCTGGTCACTGGCCAATAGTGTGAGCTTTTATGTTGGACAAGGGTTGGATGACGGCAATGTGGAATGGTAGGGCGCCTGGGATTCGTGCCTTCTTTTCATTATGCACGAAAAAGTTGTCGCGGCATTATGTTAAACCTAGCCCAGGCGTGGGTTGGGTTTGGGTCCTCCAATGCTCCCTTCCCATGCCTCGCCGCTGGCCCTGGCGCCCCAGGGTTACCTCCACTGATTCCCGAGGAAATAGTGCGCCTATGTTGCTTGCTTGCTTGCCTCGACTAGGAAAGAAGGACAAAAAGCGTCCCCGGTTATGGTTCGCCTGCACTGCGCCAAATGGGTCTGGCGGTCCGACTTCGCCTGCTTTTCTTGACGTCTGCAAGTGGAACCATTGAAGAGCTTTTCTGGCTGCGTTTCGTGCTTGACGGCGTCAATGCACAATGCACGCGCGCGAACCATGCCGTGCAGGAAGTCACAGGAGCTTGGCGAATACGGTGATGCCATCATGACATGTGTGCAGTGCTTCCAAGGGCTGGAGTCGCTCGGGCAGCTCACGGTTGGTGTACCGGCGGCCGTGCGGGCCGCTAGTTGGGGGCCGCGCAATCGGGGCAGTGGCTGGAGCTAGGTCTAGTCTTGGTCAAGGTCCTGCCGAATATCATTGGTCTTCTTCTTTGTGCAAGGAATTGCAAGGGATTGGCGTGGCCTTTAGGACGGGAGCTGGGGGCCCTAAGGTGGCCTAGGGCTGCGTTGAGCATGACGTGCAAGCCGCAGTCGGACTGCACAGGGCAACTGAAGCTGCTGGCGCAGTTGCAGCGCTGGGAGGGAATGTGCTCATCACGCCGTCCTTATGTGCCCTCCGCGTTCTGCCCTGACCGTGGCACAACTCCACTAGCGTTGAACTGTGCTGCTTGCTTTGCCCTTCCTCAAACCGTCGCACTGAAGATGGAGGACATTTATCGGGGGCTTTGGGACTGACCCGTGGGTCTATGGCTGCTGCCGGTGCAGGTCTCAGCGGAGTTGCGTGCTTCTGTACAACGGCTGTACCTAGACACGCTGCGCCGCTTGGACGGGGCGCTGACCAACATCTGCGCCGAGTTCGACCCCGATAAATACACCAAGGTGCGTTTCGGTTTCGGCGATGTTTCCGTCCCTTTCAACATCAAGGTCCAGCATTTCGTTCCGAGGAAGAAGCGGTGCAAGGTCATTCGTTTGCAGTTATTAGAGGGATGGTGCGCCAACCGCTTTCCGCCCAAGCACCACCGTCAGATTTTCGCCCCGTCTAGTCCCAACGTTTTTTCCTCCTTCCCTGCGCATCCGGTCGGTTTCCATCCACTGTCCACTATTCCAAGGTCCATCCTTCAAGGTCCGTCCTAACCCGCTATGCGACCACGCTCCACTGGACTCAGTGCGCCCTGACCCCATTGAAACCTCGCCCTGCCCGCGTCCCATCTCGGCCACCAGCTCCTAGAGGGCTACCTGCTTCAGGGCATCGACGGCAAGGCGCTCGCAGAGAAGGTGCTGCAGTGCTTCAAGGACTCCATCCACGACGTCACCACGCGGATAGTTAGGTCCCTGCTGCTTACCAAGCCAAAGTAAGTGCCTCCGCTCGCCCCTGCACGCGCTGCGGGCCCATGGCTATTTAACCAGCTATCGAAAAATCCATTTCTGGTCGCGCGGTTGTTCAACCTCTTGAGAGCTGCAAGCGCTTCTCCTGAACTGCACGTGCAAACTCAAGCTAAGCTAAGTGTTTCAATGTAAACAAGGAATCTCCTCAAGTGCACCGCACGAACGGTTTTGCCTAGTAGGTGTCTGCGCCCCCGCCTCCGCGAGTCTTATCCCAGTCTCCTGGCCCAATCCAATCACCCATTTTTCCACAGTCCCAAGCCATGCCGCCTTGCACCTGTCCTAATTCTAACCCCTCCTCAACTTGCAAAGACCATTTCACGATATGACTGCCACGATCCCGGCGCGCACGGGTTGAGCTGTTGTTAATAACTGAATTCCAACGATGTGTACCACACGGATTGAGCTCTGCTGCACCCTTTCCCCCGTGGCCCTGCACAACGGGCGCAGGCTGGCCGACCGCCTGGCCGCTGGCGCCTCAGCCACCTCGGCACTGCAGCTAGGCTACAGCGAGATGCTACGCGCCATGCCGCCCGACCTGCTGCGGCCCTGCCTACTGCGACTGCTGGAGACGGTGTTCGACGTGCTGTCGTCATACCACGTGATGGCGCAGTGGCACGGGCTTGCGGTGCAGAAGGAGAGCCAAATGGCGGCGGCAGCACAGGGTGAGTGGGTGGGCTGGTTCCGATAGTTGAGTAGCAGCATGGGTAGGTTGGTAGCAGTGGGCTGCAGCAGGACGTGTTTGGCGGGGTGTCGAGTACGTGGAGGGGATGTGAAGGAGGAGGAGGATGACGAGGAGGAAACCGTCGCTTCTAATGTCTACGTGATCGCGGCTACATTTGCGAATGCATGGGATTTGCGAATGCATGGGGTTTGCTCAATTCGGCTGTGTGGCGTCATGCCAAACAAGCTAGCATGGAAAGCATAAGGTAAGGACCGCTGCCATTAAGAAGGCTGGTGGGAAAAGGGGATGCTCCTCCAGGTCTGGATGTATGCGCCTAAACACGAATATTATCCAGGTTAACTGACCACCAGGAGGCTGAGGGAAGCTTTGGGTTTGCACGCTTGCGTGGGATGGGGCTTCAGGGGCTGCTGGCGCCTTGGATTCCTGGTTGCGTTCGGATATCGGCACATAGTGCATGCACGTCCCTGCATGTCTTTTCCGCCCTCGAGCTGACTGTCATCAATCGTATTTCTGCGGGTTGTGTCGTCCATTACCTCTCTTCTGTGTTACAACAATACCCCCCCCCCACACACACACACCCGCCGGCACCCTGATGTGATTCGCCGCTGCCATGCTCTGGTTCTGTGGCGGGCATTGGACGCGATGATGGCGGCGGAGCTGCCCACAGGCATGAACGAGGAGGACCGCCGCGCACAGACCACCACAGCAGCCTTCCTCGCCGCCGTGAACGACGTCCTCAAGGTGGGCGGCTGGGTGGGTACATGATGGAAGGCCCAAGGCACCATATCCCTGGCGCTTGGCGCTGTCCCTGACGCTCCCCCTGTCTGTGGGCAACGCGCATCCTGGGTGGGCGCCGCCGAAACGACGGGGAAGCGTCCGTGAGGGGAATCGGTGCAAGCCGGGCAAGCAGGTTGATTGAAAATAAAAGTATATCAATGCAGACTGGAAGAGTGGTGCCTACGTGTGCAGCATACCCGTACCCCTGCTGCTGCTGCTGCTGTTGCATTTCCCCTCGCTGGGCACCGGAGGTGGCCTCTGGGGTTATTTATAATCGCATGACGTGTAGAGCGGGGACGGCGGCCGCCTCTCTTCACAGCATTCGCTGTCCCTGGCCGCGCTGTGCACTGTCCCGGGCAACGAAGGCTTGTCTTTTGAGTCTGAGAAGCGCTCTGCCGTAACCTCCATGACCACTGCAATAATCGTTTCCATTAACCCGTATCCACCGTGTACATTTCTCTTCCCGTCTCCGCCCATGCTTACTTCAACTGATAAGTAGACCTCAGCCAGGGCCGTTAGCGTCCGTTTTCGGACAACATATGAGTTCGATCTTGCCATTTTCGCAACCCGCCCCCGCCATCCCAGGTCTCCCGTGCCGAGGTGCTGGATACAGCAGGCCGGCGCATCAAGGACATGCTAGCCATGGACACCCTGTTCAAGGGGGAGGACTTCCTGCAGGTGAAACGACCCCCTTGTACACCTGCCCCCCGCCGTACGCAATATGCTGCCTCTGTTCTCTCCCCCCCGCAGTCAGTTCTACGTCTGGTACACTCTTGCCCTGGCAGCAGCTTCACTCGTTCGTGGTTCGTCTTCCCCCCCCCCCCCGCATTACCAGCGGGCCTCATCTGACGGTGCTTCCTTCCTTCCTGGTTTTCCTATATGGTGTTTCGTAGTAGTGAAGTTTTACTTTTTTCTCCACCTCGGTCTTCCCCACCTTATTCCCTACCTACCACCGTACCTGCCTGCTCATGCACTGCTCTCGCATCCCAGGTGGTGGACTGGTGCGGCAACTTCGGTGCCATGGGGGAGGCCTTCCTTGGGGGCCCCACGGAGCTGCGGCCCCAGGTGGGTGAAGAGCCGGGCCGGGCCGGGCCGTGTTGCAAACCCGCTCTCTGTGCAGGCAGAGCTGAGTAGCAGCTGTTGAGCGACGTGCGACTCGTAAGGTGGCAGTCTTGTGTGCATAGGAGGCTGTAATTGGGAAGCGGCCGTTGGGTGCCGTCCGGCCTGTGGTCCGTTGCCACTGCGGCTGCTATATAAGGTTTCCGCTCTCCTTTCTTTCTTTTTCCCGTTCTTCCATATGTTTACTTACTTCCTTTACTCCTAACCTCACTTAGTAATTACTAAGACCCCACAATTCGCTCCACCGCACTGGCAATCACCTGGGTTGCTTCCATTTTGGCGTGCATGCTGCAGGTGATGGCGCTCTGCGCACGCTTCCTCCCCGCCTACCACCGGTCCAACCTCGAATCCCTGACAACCTGCCTCAACAACGAGGCCTGGCAGGTGCGAAGGGGACAGGGGCTGAGGCAGCTGCTTGCTTATACACGCTGGGAACGGCCGCGGGTGGTGATTTGCTGTCAGCCGGATTTGACCACGCATGGGGCCAAAGCTGTCCGCGAAAAGGGCTGGAGAGGGAAGTAACTGTCATGCTGCAGCGTCCTTGACTGCATGCGTTTCTGCTGAGGTTTTGCTGAGGACCCTGTCTTGACCTCTGTCCTGTCCTCCCTTGCTGAGGACCCTGTCTTGACCTCTGTCCCGCCCGCCAGGATGTTGGCGCGGTGACTGGTGCCTCGGGCGCCGTGACTCTGGAGCTTGACGTCGCCATTCTGCACTCGCCTCTGTACATGCCGCACTGGGAGGAGGAGGGCGCGGTTACCTCGTTCGACAAGTGGATCACGGACGGCAACCCGTTTAAACGAGGGTACGGCACGCGTCTGTGCGCGTGTTTGTACTGTGTGTGCGTTTGCGTTTGTAAAAATAAAGGTGTCATGGGTTGAACGCATGCGTGCGCGTGCGGTTTAGGCAGAGCTAGCCTCAACATTTTCGTTTTTTTCAGGTGTGTTTGTATGTTGTCCTGGAAGTTTGTTTGTGCAGCAGTGAAGTTCCCAGGGAGGCGAAGGAGACACGCAGAGGGAGGGCTTGGCGCTCAGAAGGAAAGAGGGGCTATCGACACCACACGGCGGCAGTAGGCCCACGGGAAAGCGCACTGGTTAGGCACAAATCCACTCGACATCACGCGTTGGTTCCGCACCCAGGCCAGGCTACGTCCCGTGCAGGCTACGTCCCGAGGTCGTGTTCAGAGGACATCGTGGCTTTTCATCAAGACACGTCAAAAATGTGGCGGTCCTTAGCCGTAGAGCTCTCGACCCCTTCTCCTCGTTCTCCTCTTCGTCTCAGAGGCCCAGACCAATATAGCTAGTAGCTTCCATGCAGCCATCTCAGCCCATACCTCCTGCCGGACTACCCGGCCCCCTCTCCGTATGCATGTCCCCCCTCCTCATGCCATGTGTTCCTTGGCTTTTTTCCTGCCCGCCAACACGACCATTACCATTCCCTGTCCTGCGCCCTCTGCTGTGCTCCCTGCCCCACTCCCAGTAGCGGGCAGGGTGCCATGCCTGAGGGCCGCCAGAAGTCCCTGGTGGACCTGCTCAACCGCACCACTGCGGAGGGAAAGCAATTGTCCCGGAACGGCAGCCAACAGAGCAGCCTAGGGGACGTGGCTGCCGCCGCCGCTAACGGCGGCGATGCCGCTGCCGCTGCCACCTGCGCGACCCCCACCACGCCCGGCGAGGAAGAAGGCCCCGCAAGGACGTCTGCCAGCAGCACCGCAGGGGAGCCGGCAGCGGCAACCGCTGCTGCCGTTCCTGGCACGCCTGGCGGCACGGAAGCGGTAGTGGAACAGAGCAGTTCTCTGGGACCGGCTGGGCTGAGTGGTGGTAGTAGCAGCAGTGGCGGCGCGGAGGGCGGAGGAGGCGGTCCTGGCAACCGCGGGCCGCCTCGCCGGCTGGCCATGCTCACCATTTCCTCACAGCAGGCGCTCAAGTACATGAAGCACTATGGCGAGCTTATGCGGTATGAGGAGGGGAGAAAGGGGTGAAGGGACAAAAGGGTATGACCGTATGATGCCGGGTCATCATGAAGGTAGGCGGACCTTGCGGTCGGGAGTGGACAGCCGTGCGCGAGCGGTCCGGCATTGTGGTGGTTAAAGCGCGCATCACATGGGACGGTTACTCAACACAGCGCACGATTTTAAGATAGCAGGCGATGGTGGACTGGAAGCCTTTGATGAGTCCGCCTCTTTATACCGTTTATACCGAGTTATTGTACTCACAGTCGTTCAAGTTTTCAGGGGGCCGTCATCCTTCTTTGCAGACTACTTCCCAGCTCTCATCCCATCCCACATGACTTTTGCTAACCGCGGCAAAGATATCAGGGGTTCCTGGCAACATGGCTGCTTGGCTGCGTCGGAACTGGCAGCTTGTGTTGGTTTACATTTTCGCATGTACGCCATGTCCCATCCAAACCAGGACTTATTATCCCTCCTTCCCCTTTTAAACATTCCCCCCCTCCTCATCACCCCATCTACGCCAAACCACCTACTACCAGGCCGCTGGAGGGCTACTCGGAGACGTTGTATCGCTGTCTTACGGAGATTTTCGACGTGTTCCTGCTCTACTGCTTCTCCGCCTTTGGGGGCTTGGGGCTGGAGGACCTGGTGTGGCGAGATGACTTGCTGTCCCCGCGGCTCAAGGGGGCGCTGCTGCGGATCCTGATAGCGGAGGGCTCCAAGTACAAACCCGTGGTGGGTGGGGGGTTGGAAGGAGGGGTGAGAGAGGAGCGGGCAGCGAAAGGCGGGGTAGCGAGTGGGGAATGAGTATTGAGGAGAGGATAAGAAGCCCAAGGAAAGCACGGAAGCAGCGAAGGAGCTGTCAGTAATGTCATGGCTGTGGCATTGTCGACACATGAAACTCCCACTCGGTCCAATCAGGTCGGACTGATCTCCACAAAAGCACAACCTCTGTAGCAGCCGGTACACAGTACGGTGCTATAAATACGCGCAGAGCGCGACCGCCAGCAACTTGAGAGACCTTTTCAGCGGTCAGCTGCTACATTTGGTATCGAGACCTCGTGAAAATTCACGATCCTGAAGTCGTCGGTTCAACCCCCACCGATCACGTTCGAGTGGTATTCGGGTGTGGCGACTCAGAGAGCGAATATCGCACAAATTATAAAAGTAGCTGAACCGACTGGACTGTCTCTGTGCCTGAAAAATCTGAAGACGGCTAGGCGCATGTGAGCCGGCACATGACGTGACGTGGAGTAATTACCCACTGCCCGAGGGTAGGCGAAGGTAGGCACAGGCTGGCGGTATACGAGGCTCTAAGGGCCCGGGACGGTTCCCTTCAAAGGGGGGGGAATGTAGCAGCCGGTACACAGTACGGTGCTATAAATACGCGCAGAGCGCGACCGCCAGCAACTTGAGAGACCTTTTCAGCGGTCAGCTGCTACAACCTCCCAATCGGCGTCGACATCTGCGTTGAACCCTTCTCGCAGCGCGGCACAGAGCATGAAAACACCATAATAAGTACAGCTGATTTGGCAACAATGACTAGAACGTTATCCTCGTGCAGAACGTTTTCACGCGCATTCGGTTTTGGCCCATCCTGGGGTGTGGGGTCGCCCACCCAACACACATTTCCTGAGTAACGTCTGCGGTGCTCGGACCCCCTTCCCTCGTTCAGATCGAGGAGCTGGCCCGCAACAAGCCCGTCGGTCGCGGGGCACCCATAGCTTCCACGGGTCTGGGACTGCTGGACCGATTCGGAGACAAGATGGAGAGCCTGGCCGACACTATGGAGCGATCCGTTAGCCGCATGGCAGTCAAGCTGGGGGACAGCAAGGTGGTGCAGGTGGGAGTTGGGATGAAGGGTGGGATGGGATGGATGGGATGGGATGGGAGCTTGTGGAGCGGGGAGAGGGGATATTGGGAAGTAGAAGCCTGGTAACGCAGTCCGGGGCCAGTGCTATGTATGACGTTGCAAAACTCGCCGTAAGGAACATCTGCATCCGACTCCAAAGCACCAAGCGGGGAGGGTAAAAATTTACATGTGAGGCTGGGAAGCGGGTCAAACAGGAGAACCCCAATAGGAAAACCGCTCACTCGGAGCTGAATGTAATGGGGGGTTGCGGGGGAGATGGGATTTTGACGAGCGAAATGGGCGAGGCAGAGATATGTGTTCGGGGGAGGAGAGGAGTAATGGTGGGTAGAATTTGGCGTCCCTGCATTGTTGCAGAGTGGGACATTAGGTGCCTGACAACATGGCTGGTGGGCTGGGCCGGCTGCTGCCTTTCTTCCGCAACCCGACAACCCGGGCTCTCGCCACCATCCTCTAACTAGACGTCCGCAGTTGTTCCTTTTATTAAAGATATACTCACCACCACCACCACGCACGTCTTGCACGTCTTGACTTTGGCCTCGCCCGCTTCTGTTGGCTTTCCTTGAGTGCTGGACACCGTACATAGCATTTACCTGGCCATACGGGTGACATCCTGCCGCCTCGTCATTTTAATGGCCGCGATTATCTTTTATTCTCAACCGGGCCTCCGCTTACCCGCCCGCTCAGGTCATGGGTGGCAGCGGGGACAGCAGTATCGGGGGCGGTGTGCAGGGCAGTGGAGCCAGCATGGTGGGCTTTCCGCAGGTGAGGGGTGACCGCATTGCATACAGCCCTGCTTGGACTGCTTGACAATGGGTTGTTGCATTCTCCTCTCTCCCCCCCCCTTCGCCAGCATCGCCATCGCTTTGGACTCGAGCAGTTGGTGTTGGGGCGTCTCGGCAGTTAAATGGGGATTACCCCATTTGTTTTGTTTGCATGTGTGATTTCCTCCGCCCCTTCCCCCCGCCGGCCCAGTCTCGCCGTTGTGGAGAGAACTCCGTTCTGCACACCTCCCGAACCCTTCTGCAGGTCTCCGCGCCCAACACCGGCATGCTCACGCCGCTGGGGGGCCCACGGGCCAGCGTGCCCATGGGCGGCGTCGGCGGCGTCAGCGGCGCCCACAACGGTGGCAGCCCCGGCCCTTCTCAGGGCAGCCCAAGCAGCTCCGGGGGCAGTTTCCATGCGCCCCAGTGGGGATTGCGGGAGCGAGTGGTGGCGGTGGAGTCCCTCATCTACATGGCGCAGGAGCTCAAGGCGGCGAAGCAGGCCATTATTGTGGGTACCAAAGAGAAGGGGGTTAAGAGAAGAACAAGTGGAACTATGTAGCCGATAGACATGCGAATAGGGTGTGATGTTCAATGCAGCCGGATATTAGGGGCAGGGGGGGTTATTAAGACATGAAGGGTTTGCGACAAGCTGGCCTAGATGCGAAAGCCATGGGCCCTTACGTGCAAATGAAATGACACGGACGGAACGGGGAAAAGTTGCCACTTTTGGAGCTCTGACACCGGGCGGTGCCTCACGTGGCCCCGCCCCTCGGTGTGCTGTGTACTTATGACCCGTGTGAAGTGCCTGGCCTGCAACGACTCGTCCCCTTGGCTAGCTTTATTTTAAGCAGCACCTTCGGCCCTGGGCTGCGCGGTTCCCACTCGCGTTATGGGAGGCTCTTGGGCTGTCGGCCCTCCTTAATCTCATAATCTAATTCTTTACCTTCCCACGAGGGTCCCCCTACGCCACTCCCTGCTGTGCAACTTACTCCATTCATCGCCTGGGTTCAATGTGTCTTTCTCTCTCGTTTTCTCTTTTCCCGAATCCACCGCTTCCTCTCCGCGTTCTCTTCCTTCCTCTATCCAGCTTGCTCTTCCTGGCCGCTGTCAGCGCGACGTCGAGCAGTACTTTAACCGCACGGTGGAGGCCGCAGCGGACCTGAGGGAGTACCTGTTCAAGGCGGCGGCCAGGGTCATGATGCAGGTATGTGCGGGAGGGGAACCGCATGCCGAAATGCAAAGAATTGACTGTGAGAGGAAGGGCGAGGGATAGCGGGACGGAGGAGGGGAGGGACGCAGACAGTAGGAGCTTCCCTGAGCCTACGGCACTTAGCACCTTGAAAGGTATCCGGGTAGCGTTATCTTACCGTTACCGCCGACTGCGTTCGCTTTGGTTCCGTTCCATCCTTTCCGGCGCGGCGGCACAGAGCCCCGCTCTCCCCTACATGTTCCCATATATGGTGTGTGAAACAGGGGGGTGTATCTTCGCCCGTGGCAGCTACCCCGCGAAACCCTGCCTTCCCCGGTATTTCGGGGCACCCTCTTCCATTCACCCTAGTCAACTTCTCAGTGGATCGCTCAGGTTCCGCACCCACCACCAGCATCCAACGGAATCTGCCGGGTCGACAGCGGCCCAACTCCATTCCTGGTCGGCTCGCAGGTTAACTTTATCCCAGGTCACCACCGTCCATCAACTAGGGGCGCAATGCCTTCCGCCATCGGAAGGACTTTTGACCCTAATGGGTATCGATCCCGGGATCTCCCGGGGGCAATGGTCGCGCCTTACCAGTAGTGCCAAAACCTAGTATCCCATATATGTATGCCTTCGGCGGCACCCCCGGCTTATGAAGCCGCAACGTTCATCAAACTTATTATATCATTTGTGTGTCTGCGGTGACGGACACCAAATTGTGTGTTACTGCGCTCATCCACTTCCATCGTTCATGTGGCGCAGGGCGTGTGGGATGGTGACCGGGGCATCCCCGCCGCCATTGGGGTCACCAACTACAATGTCAGGGAGCCTGCCATTAAGCAAAGTCCTTGGGCTGACTTTTCCGTACGGGCGCTACACACCTTCAGGTGCGGGCGAACGACAGGGCTGTGGCTTAGGACAAAGCGGCTTGGGGATATTCAAGCTTTAGGGGCCGCTCTCGGAGCGGGACGGGCCCGGGGGCTCGAGGATAGGGATAGGATTCCGGGCGTGATTTCCGAACCCGACGGATGGATAGAGAAGAGATAAATGGAGCTAGAGAAGTGTCGCGAATGGGGGTTGGGGCCTTGGGACGCCAGGCGGGAAGTGGACCAGGCCTTGAGGTACTTACCGCATACAGGGGAGGGATGGAGTGGGGCTCCGCTTCGGACGGAGAGCTGCCACCAGTGTGTGTGATGGAGGGGGGAAAAAGGGAGAATGAGGGCAGGGTTGGCGGTGGCTACAGAGGGCCCCGCTGGATGTCTAAGGTCCCTGCAACGCGCTGTCCCCCGTCGCTTGATGCCCAGGGCCAGAAAGGCCCCCTTCCAGAAATTCATCACACGCCTGGGTGTTGCCTTAGCCTCGCTGCCGCTAAGAGCACCACCTCGTACCAAAGGTCCTAGCGATCACGGGAAAAACATGTTAAGCCTTAGGAACATCGAGCTGCTAAGATTGCTATCACAGTCACGTTTTTCCTGACATCTACTGCTGCTCTTTTTGTCGCTTGAGCACAGGGAGAAGGTCCTCGCCGCTCGTCTGCCGCTGCCGCTGGTAGTGCTCTTGTGGGATTTCGCGGTGGCGGTGGTCACAGAGGGGCTGCTCACCGGGTTGGCAGGGGTGCGCAAGTGTAGCCTGGAGGGACGGGCCAACATGTCCTTCGACTTGTCGCATGTGGAACGACAGGTGGGAGCAGAGAACAGGGCTGTGGGAAGAAGGGGGGTGGGGGGCGCGGCACTGATCTGGCGTCTGGAACGAGCGGCAGGAACGGCCCCTTCGCTTAAATCGTTGTATGTCTCTGGCTGCCTACTGCCTCTCATCCGGCACGCTGCCAGTCTGCTCTTTTCGACCGCCGCCGCGCTCAACCAACCCGACCGCCTCGTTTGGAGGCGGGTGTCGCGGGAGTTTTTCTCAGGAGACTGGCATAACTCGCGTAATGCCAGTGCTGCGTCACGCATATTTTACAAAGGCTCGTGTAAGCGCTTCCTTGGGACCGTGCGCTTTGTTCGCCACCACTTAATCCAACCCCCCGCGCGTACGTCCGTCTGTTGAGCGACAACCTAACCTTTCCGTGGCGATGTGGTGCGGCGCTGTGCCGCGCTGCTGGTCCCCAGATTCGGGCGATGGGTCCACCCAACTTCAAGCCCACTGCTCTCGCGATTGTGGACGCATACATCAAGGCCTTCTACCTGCCGTGGGAGGAGCTGCCGCACTGGTGCCGGGTGGGTGTTCTTTCGTTGTCATACTAAGGCCCTAGGCATTCGTGACAAGAGCCGCAACACCCAGTCAGCCAAGTTACCAGCTTCATTCATTGGTGCACCAGACCGCCTCTGTTCGCTCGGTGACAACTGGCCGTTATACCGGGGCCTAGGTCTTCATCTGCGACTGGAACGATCTGACAGTAGTCGTCGCCGTTGTCATCCCCCTTCCCTGCCGCTGCTGCAGACCCACGTAGCCCAGTATGGTAAGCAGAGGCTCTTCACTCTGGTAGAGGTGTCGGCAGAGTTTAACAAAGTCAAGAGGCATCAGAAGAACGAGGTACTCGAGATGATCGAGGCGTTGGACCCCACCAAGAGTTTCTGAGCTGCAGAGCCCGTCTTGGTTCAGGCGGCACAGGGCTGCATTGTTCAGGAACGTATTGGTGGTGTGCACGATTGGGGGTCGGGTGGTAACGGCGAAAAGGAATGGGAACGGCCGGGCGCTTTGGGAGGGGCAAAGGCGTTGCGGCAGGGCCAAGAGGGTGTGAGATCTCGCCAGGTTGAGTGCGTGCACCCCGGCTGGGAACCGGACTGCAGGTAACTGAAGCAGCTGTTTCGTGTCCTGATAGTGGCGATGATACCGGTGGAGCGTGATGTAGGGGTGCATATGGGGTGCACGGGTATGTTTTGGGGGCGCTTAATATGGGAGCTCGAACGTATCGACGCTCAGGCGTTCGAGTTGATGTTTAGGTTAGCGTCAAATGGAGGGTGAGCGCAAGGTAGTTGTGGGATGCGAGGTGAACACGGGCGGCGGAACGGAGCATTCGGGGTTGGCATACAGTTGGAATGGGCAGTGCAGAGTTGTGGCTTGAGACTTGGAGATTGGGGCTTTAGGAAGCACAAGAATCCGCCGCGAGGACATGTGCTGCATTGGGCTAGGCGCGCGGTGCGGTGATGCCGTAAGAATCCGATTTTGCGACACTGGGGCTAACCTGGGAAGCGCGAGCGAAGGTCACACCCTCGGAGAAGTTAAGGCTTTGCGTTTGCCGCGTGCCGCTCGTAGGGTAAAGAGTGGTTGAGTGATCTCGTCAGGGAACAGAAAGTGGATGTGCGCGCGCGAGCTACACGTGGGGCAGTGCGTCCTCTGCGTTCAAACTCAAAACTCGCTGTTTTCGCTCACGTCAAGGTCGTACATCTGTGCTACAGGGGTTGAAGGAATGATACAACTGTTTGGCTTGAAGATATCGCATCACATACCTATAGAAGCTTCGCAACGGTGAGACGGGTATGTTAAGACAGACAAACAAGTGCGGGACCAGGCCGATGACAAGACGAGGCATATTTCATAACCGTGCAGTTTTGGTATGAAGCTTTCCCGTCCCGGCAACCTGAAGGTGGAGATCGCACCAACAACCGACCGAAGCATTGCTTTTAGGGGCTTCCAGCGTCTCTCGCAAGTATGCATCAACCAGGATATCAACGATCCTTTGCGTGGCTAAAGCACCTCGTCAATCCTCATCCTAAGCCAGTACAGTTGATAAATAAAAAAAGGCCTTAGCCCTTCCTCACCATCGAACGTTTCAGGCTTCCGGCTTTTCCAGGCTGCTTTTTATGCATAACAAGGACATGATAGGCCGATACCACTCTACCACCTCACATGAAATAACAACAAAACAGATGGTGCCCAATGCCATCCTAAACCCACAACATGCCCACTCCGACCCCCCGCTCCACTCACCGGATCTGGGGGTTCCGACAGCATACGGACGAGAGGGATACACGGCCCTGTAGCCGACAGGTTCATGTACGGCGTTCGGCCCACATCTCGTCACCTCAGTACATAAGCTTTCATACCGTTAGGGGATGGATAACAACCTAGTCACCCGTAATATATCGTACACACAGTGCAATACAGTAGCCGCTAAATGTTGTCCTTCAAGGTCCAACGACAGATTCTGACACAGGTTCCCGAACGCCAAAATTTGTGTCTGCCGCCGCAAATGCAACTGTGAAACCAGGAGCTCACTGCACAATATTCGCACGGCTCTCTGCGCCGCTCAGTTGGGCCATCCTACGGCCGACTGCCTTGCTGGGCTCCCTGCTGCTGCGAGGGGTTGGGCCACGGGGAGCTCGGCTCCAGGGTGACATCCACCTCGAAGGTGCTGTTCTCGCGGAGCACCGTGATGTGCAGCGTGTCACCCACCTGAGCGGCATTACCATTCGCGGAGCAAAGCAGGGAGATGAGAGGAAGTTGGAAAGGAAGGCAAAGCGGACAAGGAAGGTCGACAGAGGGAGCTTTGGAGGCAATACCGACATTTCGGGGCGGGTCGGGATGAACTTAGATGTGACCCTTGGGGGAGGACCAGGGATAGCGCACCCACGTATGTAAGCCTAGGACTCGCACGTACAGCACGTGTCTAGTTGCTTGTAAGGTTTTGCCAGGTAATACCAGAAGGGCCAAGTAACCTTCAGCACCAGCTCTTATGCCAGTCCGGTACATCCCTTCCTACGTTGAATCCCCCCTCGGAACGCATCTAAAGGACGCATATAACGAACTGGTTCATCGAAACGGTCATTTACTTTCCCCAAGCCTGCGCGACCCCCCTTCATCCCCTGTCCCAAAAGAGGAGGGAGCCTGTCAGATCCCTTAACTGTCACCACCACCGCCACCGCCACCAGCACGGCCTCCCCAACCACAAGCATAGACCTAGGTCCATATGCTTCAAGACCTACCTGGCACTTGTCCAGCACGCGATACAGATCTGAGGAGCTCTTGATCTTGATGCCGTTGACTGCCGTGATGATATCTCCCAGCACCAGTCGCCCGTACTCGTCGCGAGTGCTGCCCTTGAGTCCTGCCTTCCAGGCGGGTCCGCCCTCCCGGGTGCTCAGAACCAGGATCCCCGCTGAAAGTAGAGGTAAGATAGGGTAGGACAGGATAGGGAAGTGAACTGTGTTACACAGGTGCTATTGGTAATATAGAAGCACCTACGCGTACTTACGTTTGTTTCCTCCGGAACCATGGACCCCAGCGTGTATTAGGGAGTGGCTTTCCGGGTTGGTGAAGTATTCGAACGTGTTTACGAACAAAGAGCACAGCGAGAGAACCAGGACGGAGGAAAGTACGTTCCTGTATAAGGCCCTCAGCCGCCCTCCCACCCACCAGCCTTCCCAAGCGGTATTAACCCCCTTAAAGCCCCTGCCCACCTTTAATGCCTAACGCCTCAGATGACACATCCGGGGCGAAGGAGATGCCCAACATGGGCCGAGTCACCTGGGTTGGAAGGCGAGTCGGCAGGGTTGGAAGGGTCAGCGGGGTGGGTGCCAGTGAATGTACGTACACATTAGGCACCGCATTGTGTCCCTTGAGGGTTCCCAGTTCGATCCCGACAGTGAGCGGGTTATATATATTCCGTTAGAGGGTGGGAGCACCCTCCTGCCGATGGACGGTGATGGTCCAACTCGGTTTCAGTAGTGAGAGACCTGCGAGCCGACCGACCAGGATTGGAGTGGAGTGGAGTTGTGTTGCCGCCGTTGTGTCGGCAGGCTCCGCCAAATGCTGATGGTGGTGGTGGTGGTGGTGACGGTGTTGGGTAGAAGTCGGCACACATAGCTGAGGCTGCCCGGAAGGATGCGAGCGTCCCCAAACGTGGCACCGGGGGAGGTAATGGCAGGGACTGCCAGCGGGCTAGTAGTGGCCACACACACATACAGGTGAAGGAAGCTATAAAGCCCCTCCCCACCTACTTCACACACAACCATATAACTCTATTTCGGAGGGACCCTTGCAAGAAAAGTGTATGTGCCCGTACGCATGCGTAAAGCTCCGCAGTCTGAAAGTCGATTTAAATGTATGCGGGGATCCAGTCCGCTCTTCTTCCGCTCCTTCTCCGTTATTCTTCCCACTACCGCCCTCCAGCGGCCAATCAACCAACGAAACAACCGGGCAACAACCTGCACACAAACACTACTTCCCAACTAACCACTGGGCCCCGCGATGCGCATTTGCCATGCTACCCATCATGCCGTACTACCCACCTTGCCGTACTGGATGATCTGCCCCACGCTGCTCTTGACAATATCCACCGGAATGGCGAACCCCACTCCGTTGTTTGCCCCCGTCGGTGAATAGATGGCGGTGTTGATACCGATGAGACAGCCGCCGCTGTCCAGCAAGGGACCTCCGCTGTTGCCTGACAGCCGGGGTCACCAACGGACGGACAGTTGTACAGGAAATGGCTTATTACGTATTTGCACCTTGGAGCGAAGCAACGGGTCATCCGTCATACGGTTGGCATCCCCGAGGAAAAAGGGGTTAGCGCTGCACCGGAAAACGCGCAGTAACGCGCACATAACGGCATAAGACATCATGACGCTAACCCCCGGGTCGCCCACCCACCCACCCGCACCACACCACAGCACCCAGCACCACACCAACGCACCACCCAACCACCACCCTAAACGCCACCTACCCGGGTTGATCGCGGCGTCCGTTTGGATGACATCCTGTAGAAGCCGGGACGCACCGGAAAGCACGCGGCGGCGCGAGGACGAATATGAATTGATGAATGTCAAGATGTGATGAAACACCGCCATCCGCATCAGAGGTACGGGAGCTTGCGGGTCAGTATTTTGCAAGCCTCGCACGAACGGCCAGCCGCATCCTAGCCGCTGAAAGCATGGTGAGCCAAAGCTTTTTACAACGGAGGGCATTCCTCTCTCCCTGTCCTCCCCTTCCTTGTCAGTGGTTCGTCTATATATATACATATACATATATCTATATACCTATCACCCTGTCCCTCCCGCCCCAGCGCTCCCACCTGTATGGGCCTTCCGCTGATGGACTGAATCTCTCGCCCCGTACCACTGACCACTCCCACAGTCAGGGTGTGATCCAGACCGAAAGGGTTCCCAATGGCAAACACCTGGGTCCATCCAAAAAGGGGGGGACGGAGGGAACTTAGCAGTTTCAGGGGGGTTGAAACTTCCACTCGTCTTACATGGAATGGGGGTGCACCAGGGGGAATAACGAGGGGGCTCTACAGCGTTCGGGTCGGCTCGAGGGTCAAGGCTGCCCGGTATGCAGTAGTACCTGCAGTACCCTCTTAGCCGGGAAGCACCCCACCCTTAGCCGGGGGGGAAAAGGGGAGGGACAGGGGCCACTGATGTAACGAAGGCACGGAGTGGCGGCATGCAGGCCACCGGGGAAGGCTGCAGCCTGTTGTGTTTTGGTTTCGGAGTCCCTCGCGAGCCCTCGTGTCCAATCTGCCTATACCCTTTATGTTTTTTTACAAACCGGATCGGGGATGTCCGGGTGCCGGTGGTCTCTAGCTTCTATTCCCCTGGGCATCCGGCCACCACCCTCCCCCGCTCTTCTACTTCCACACCTACATACCTTCTGCCCCACCACAATGTCAGCGGAGCTGCTGCACAGGCTGAGAGGCTCCAACATGGCTGTCGGGGGAGAAGGCGCACGGACCGACCTCCCCGGCGCAGCAGCAGCCCCCCCCGCCGAGCCGCCACCGCCACCGCCAGACGCCACCGGCTGCGACGGGCCCCCCGTCGCCGCCGCCTGTACCTCCCTTTCCGCTGCCCCCATGGGCCCTATTTGGAGCACCGCGATGTCCTTGTCCTGATCCTGTGTCGACATCCAATTTGCATGACACACACACACACATAAGTACAAGGATACATATGACATGTGTTCATATGTTCGTGTTTTAGGAGGAAGGGGGGTAACACGGTCTTCAAGATGCAAGGTAAAAGACAAAAAAACCTTCGTCGCCTTTAGCCCGCCACCGCTACCCGATAGCCCTCCTCAAGTCCCCCCTCCAAAACCCCCTCTCCCCCTCTCACCACGCCAACCACACGCGCGGAAAACTCCTCCCCGTCGGCTAGGGTGACCTGCGCTCAGCGGTGATCGGGACCGGGAGGGCGGGAGAGGGGCGCGTGACCCGGGGGGGGAAAGACGAACCACACGCGATTGAAGCTGCTGCCAGGGCAAGATAGTAGCAACCGAAAGAACTGACCGAAAGGCGTCCGTGGCGACTGTGACGACTGTAACCTCGGGATGACGACTGTAACCTCGGGATGAAGAATTGACGTAGATGTTGGAAGTCCTACCTACCTAAGCCGCCAGAAATATTATAGCCAAACCGTAAACTAGTAGGTGTAGAAAAAGTAGTGAAGGCGGCGAGAAAAAAATGCTGACGTAAAAGTGGCGTAAAGTTGCTGGCCAGGAGAGAAAGCTGCATTGCTGATACTGAAAGGCTGCCGGTATGCAAGTGTTCCTCCCAACCCCCCAAAAAAACTAGAACGCGCGACTGACCCGACCGACCCAAACTAAACTATACCGGCTAGCCTACCGACGCCAACGCGAAATACCAAAGAAGCTCGAACCACCTTTTGGACTCACCTGGCCAGGCCGCCGAAGTAGTGGCAAAAGGCACATGCAAAAACAAAAGGGTAACAAAGATGTGAGGCGGGTGCGATAAAGGACAAGGGAACATGCAAATGCTGCTGAGGACCCGGGGGGGGGGCCGGAGGACACCAAGGGGGAGATCATAGGAGGATGCAAAAAGCCAAACAAACGAACAGTGGGCGAGGGGTGAGGCGTGGGGTTCGAGACGCGGCGGTACTACACATGTGCCGGTGGTGGTTTTCGGAGGCACAACTCCGCGTTGGCTGTCGACCCACATTACGATGGTGTCGGGACAACCATACATACAAACACACATACACATACGCACACATATACGCACGGCAGGGAGTGATTAGGATACGTGTGCGCACGTATTATAGACGTGATGTACATGGATCTGTCCGCGTGCCATCTGTCCCTACGCAACAACGCGTAATGACTGTATTGAATTCTGCGACAGTGAATCCGAAAAAGATCGTAGGTGTAACCTTTCAACGGCCTGTATCGAAATCCCCACCGACCCAAGTTGACCCAAATCACATTCCTGCCGACCCACATCGCAGGCATCGAATCCTCCTGCAGCCATTCTCCTCCCCTCCCACCTTTATGTCGCTAGCGTCCTGGATGACATGATAGTTCGTCACCACATGCCCCGCGGAGTCCTGCGGGGCGAAGCACCATCGCTCGGCCGAGCGAAAGAGGGAGCGGGAGAGCGGGAGTGAGAAGATCTGCGGGCCTTAGGCTGGAGGGCCGACTTAGAGATACTCACCAGAGAAAACCCGCACCACCTTTGGTTTACCCGTACAAAGTTTCGAAAGCTCAGCAGCTTCCTTTACTGGTAGAGCAGAAAGTTCTTCTGGTGAGCCCATCCCATCCCAGTCCGTCACGGCCCATCCCAGCCAGGCCCAGCGAGGCTCAGAGGGAACTAGTGATCAGCGGAAGGGGTTTTACGAGTCATGCGGCAGCACAAAGCGATGTGGCTGTGGCTGAGCCCTAAGCCCCTGAGCCCACGTCACATTGAAATATACACTCCGCCACGGCTTGCCTTGCACTCGCATGCACACCCAGAGGGTGACACACCGCCCTCGGGCCCTACACTGCCCTCAGGCCCTACAGCACGTGCTGATGCAAGGCAAGTGCTACTGCTGTTTGCTGAGAGGCTGCATCCGCGCAAGCGATGCACCCTAGCGTATTGCATCCTCGCACAACCTCGCCGCGTGCGCGCAACTAAGGTTATGCATCAGACACAGACATCTGGAGACATGCCATGCTGCCCCAGACAACCGCTCCCACCCACGCAGAGCACCCACCCAGATGAAGCCGCTGCCTTGGCCCTGCGGCATCTCCAACATGTTCATCGTGAATGCATCGCGCCTGCACATCACAGTCACAGCATAACGTAGCGGCGCACAGCACATACAGGGATAGGGGGACGCTGCAAGGCGTAACACTGCAGCGGAAGCGTGCAGAGGGTAACGGCTTTGGCAGCGCCTATTAGGGCCTATTTGGTTGCCGTGTCATGTCTGTCGGTGACCCGGGCGCCAATGAATCGCGGCAATATAACCTGTCCTGCTTTCTTCCTTCGCTGCTGCTTTCAAGGACGGCTATATCAAGGACGGCCATTTAATCCGTGTCCTCGCAACGGGCCACTTGAGCGCACGTCGCCAGGCAAGGGGAAAACAGTTCGGAAATACACACGCAATCCGCGCTACTGCAACCCGCTGCGAGTAAGCGGCCAGCGAGCATGGGGTTGCATGACTGCGCGTGCATGGCTGTGTGTGCATGCTTGCGCTATGAACTTCAACGGAAGCAACAGGGAAAACAGGTGAGGCGATGTGACAATGTATCCTTGTACGTGAATGTCAAGGATGCGTTGCCCTTGTTGGGTGGGTGCTTTAGCTTGCGTGCGCCATGCAGGACATGTTTGGGTTTAAGACTTTCAGCCGCCATAGCCGCAAGGACCCTCACTTGACTGCCAAGTTGGTTACGTTGACCACGCTAGGAGTGGATCGTTTGAAAATTTCGATTGTAAGCTGCTCCTCGGGGGTTAGCCGTGGTCGGCTCAGGGCGGGGCTGGGCACCAGGCAGCTCCCCGCAAGCAGCGACGCAGTACCGAGGGCTGCAACCAAGGTCCGCAGCAGCCGTTGACCGGGAGGTTCCGCCGGTACTGTGTCCAAAGACGCAGCTGCGACAACATCGGCTACAATTGCCGTGTTAGTGATTAGATCTGGCTTGGGTGAAAGGGCGCCATATGCGGAGCACCAGCTGGCATCTTTCGGTGCGAGAGCCCGGAGTAGTCCTCGTGCTGGGGTTGTCAAGATACGCACCGCACGGTAGACCACATGCTTGCTGCTGATGTCGCCATGCGTAACAGTCTGTAGTTTGTCTGTTGTAAGGGCGCAAAGGGTCAAGACAATAGAAGAGAACTGCGTCGAGAGTGGTCGATGCGAGGAAGCTACTACACAAGCATGCAGTATACCCCTGTGATGCAATCGCTAAGTAAATTCGCATCCTTTCACACCTCTAGGATTGATCCGCGCCTTGGAATGTTGTTGAAGGGTCATCACTTCTCAAAACACACGGTCCCGCTGCCAGATCGCGGTGCCACGCTGAAACAATCTATATAAATATAAAGTTGTAATAATACTTAGCGAAGAAGTTCTTCAAGACTGCAAGTTTGGCTCGTTTCGACAGCGAGTGGTTAGGAGCGGTTTCCCCAACCAGGCGTACAATGCTCATCATAGCCGCAAGCTCTCCGCCGCATTTCTATATGATGAATAATCCACTTAGTTAAAGTCAACTATTTCATTGACTACTTGGACCTCATCGGACTATATGGCTCCAGTCCCCATGGCTCCCTCTGTGGCTCCAACCGTTTAAAGCACCAGGGCAGTGCTAAGTGAACTAATGACAGACGGTGCATGTACACCGACTGCAAAATCAATTTACCCAATATTTTCAATTCCATGCGAAATCCAGAGCCATGAACACACTCTTGACCTTCGAGGCCGGCACTGTCACCAATCTTACGCCGTGGCCGGCCTTTTAAGCACCGGAGTAGTTTAGCAAACGCGAGCAGTAACACGCACATCAGAAGCAAAGTATGCGCCACCTTTTACCCGCCATTCTTACCGCATGGACCTGTTCCCTGAAATTTGCCGTACGCATGGCCAGTTGAGATGGCAGGCGTACCGACTGGGTGCATCCAGTTACGGCGCACTTCTGAAGAATCAACACTGGGCGTTTGTGTTTGAAGGGGCTACGGCCATAACCCTGAAATGTTACCCAAAACACTAAAGCGAGCTTAGCTGCGCACTGCGTTCTACTGCTTCAAGTACATTAAGGCATTGCAAGCTTTCCAGGGAGGGCTGGCGGGGTCGTCTCTACTTCACGGTGGAAATGCAGAGCGATTGAGGATGAGTTGCATGCTTTGGTGCGTGCTTAGCCTACGGGGAATTTACAGGGTGCGATAGGCGTGGTATCGTAATGAATGAGGCTTCCCCCCTTCGCTGTGGCTACGTTTCTTTTGGAGGTCTGGTAGGGCAGAGCACTCTTGTTCCTCGTGCTGCAGCTGCTCCTGATATATTGGGGCCGCCGTCTGCGCGGGCTCTTCCGTCAAGAACGGCAGGACGCTGTTGGAGATAGGAGTCTTTCAGTGAACACATCACTCCACTCGTATCGTTACCCAATTTAACAAATAATACCTTTAGACGCCTGAAATGGAGCTTGCGCAAACCAGGTAACTAGCGCGTTTTGGTTTCGGTTTCTGGTTCCGGCGCGAGAATTCTAGCCCTGGTGTCAGCACAAAATGGTACAGGGCGTACGAAAGTGTTTGTAAACGAGTATTGTCTGCCTGTAGTGTCTGCCGTAGCTCCTCGGGGTGTGGAATTGGGCATCACTTTTATCGGATATTGGCCTGCTTCCCACAAAGGACGACTTGTTTAAGCCTGCAAGCTTTGTGTTGTTGCAAATCGCACTCAGGCCATTCGTCATTGGCCTGCATTGCTTAAAATTTTGCAATCTTGTTATCATGGAGTGCGTGTGCTTCACCTTGATAGTGGACGACATTGTTTTGCCCCACGGGGAGACAGTCATGGAGGCCTTAGGTGGAGGCGGTAGGTTATCCTATAGTCATACTGGCCGTCTGTAAAATGTACGTCATCATCACTTGCAAATGAGTGGGCTGGGCGTCCGTCACAGGACCGCAGACGCTGTTCGGCTATCAGCTAGTGACCAACCAGAGCGCTGCTGTGGGTTTATCAGGTGGGTGGACGGACGCCGTCGTCACGTCTCCCCCAGCGTTTGGACGTTCACAGACCGGCGCGCGCGCGGGGGCGCCGTGCAACGCTCTAAAAACGTCTCCTATCATACGCATATCAATTCGCTCCTCGCCTGTTCGCTTCCCACCATCACGCAGCTGGAGTCGGACCCGACCTGCCGCAGCGCTGCAAGGTACGGCGCGCTCTTGACCCCCCCGGGGCTAAAACATGAACGACAGACAAGCTTAAGCGCACCCGCGGATGGACCTCTGTCAGGTCCTCGCCCATCGGTCCAAAGATTTTGAGGATTGGACACAGCCTGTCAAAAAAAACATTGGCTCATTCCTCGTTGGGGACCAAGCTTTGCGTGTTGGCAATCGTAGGCTCCGACTCCAGACGCTTCCTGAATACCGCTGCTATATGCGGCTGTATCGCCACACAGGCCTGGCTTGAGTCGCTTGGCGTGGACACGTCCGGCCTGGTGCCGTACCAACGGCCAACTCCACGAGCATGGCAGGTCTTTGAGGAATGGGGCCGCCGCACGCAGGTGACGAGGGGGAGGGTGTGAGGTTGGGTGTACGGAAAGGGAAGCTTGCAGACGCAGGAGTTGGCTTGGGGTTGGGTTGGTTATGTGGGTATCGACGAGGGTTCAATCTGAGGGTTTATGTCCCCCCTGGATCCCCCCACCACACGTCTACACGTCTACTACCCCCAGCCTTCCATCCACCTCCAACAAACACTCCTGCGGCGCCATACCCATCCACGCCCCACTTGCCCACCCGCCCAGATCTGGCGGGGTCGCGATGACCCGTGCGAGGAGCTGTACGAAATGTTGCGCCCCAAGTACGACACCATGCCGGCCCATTTTCAGCGCTCCTGTAACTACCATCTGGGCGTCCACCCCCTGCACCCGCCTCGTCGTCTGATGAGCCAGCTCAGGCGAGCGGCTCATGCCAACGGAGGTGGGGTTGGGTTACCAGGGTGAGGAGGTGAGGGGGTGAGGAGGTGAGGGGGTGAAGATACACGGGGCCTCCTGAGGGGCCGGAGGGGAGACGGGGCCGAGGAGGAGGAGGAGGAGCCTGGTGCGGCAGGCTTGGCATTGAGCTGGGGGTATGCGTTGTGGGGCCACGTGCTCCCTGCTTCCAGTACAGCTGGTACAAAATGTAAGAAAACATCGTGTATCTTCTCAACACCCCACCCCGCCTCGCACCCCCCATGCCATTCCACCTGTCACCTGGCTACATGAAACCCCAACTCCCCTACGAATGCGTTACGTGTCAGGCGTGCTGTCCATCGAGCCGTACACTTCGGCTGAGTCCGCCGCCACCCCCGGGCAGGTGTCGGAGCTGCTCGCTCACTGCGACATCTTCTCACCCAATGAGGGGGAGGCGGAGTCCATCGTGGGGCCTGGTGGGCCGGGGGGCCCCGGGGACGAGAGGGAGCAGGGGAAATGAGGGGGGGGGAGGTTTGGGGGCAGGGAACAGGAAAGCTTGTAACGAGGGGAAGAGGATACTGGAGGACACCTCTGTGCGGACCGTGGAGGGGGTGTAAGCGGAAAGGAGGGGAGAGAGAAAGGGGGGGGAGACCGGGGAGAAGAGGAGGGGATGTCGCAGTGGAGTGCCAGGGTGCTGCGTCGTATTCCCTCCCTCCCTCCCTCCCCCCCTCCCTCTAAAGGTCCTTTTGGACGCCGGCAGTTGATGCGACCTTTCACCTTAAAACTGCCCTCGATACGTAATGTCTCTTCATTCGTTTCTTTCCTCCATGTCCCTCCCCTTCTCCTCCTCTTTTGGGTCCCCCCTTGCCACACACGCACGTATCAACCCCACCTTTTAGGATCACCGGAGCAGCTCGCCCTCCGGCTGTTGTCACTGTCTCCCCCGGGGGGTGCGGACCTTGTGGTGGTCAGGTGCGGGCCGGAGGGGGCGCTGGTGGCCAGGAGGCGGCAGCCGCAGCCGCTGGTGTCGGCTGAGGCGGCGGTGGGCCCAGTGACAGAGCGGGCCCTGGCTAACCAACATGGTCAGCAGGACGGTGGGGCTGACGGTGCCGGGTTGCGGCAAGACGGCAGGCGCAAGGGGGAGCAGGCGGAGGAGCACGTGGAGGAGCACGTGGAGGTGGAGGTGGAGGTCTACCGGGTGTGTGATTGAGTGGGTGATGGGGTAGGCGGGAAAAGGAAAGGGAGCCGTACCGGGTGAGTGGACGGGTGGGTATGACAACGGGGCGGTGATGATGTGATGTCCGTCCTCGTCCCAGCTGCCGGTGCCCCAGCACTCCCCTTCCTCAACCCCCACCTCTCTTCCCTCCCGCTGTGCGTTTACCGCCCTCCTTTCAAACCCTCCCGGGAGCTAACGCCAGAACTCTCCTGTCTCGTGGAAAGAGGGTGAGGGAAAAGAGTGAGAGGCGTCAATGGCGACAAAAGCCCACCACCTTACCCGGCGAATGTCCGTGGGGTCACGTCAATGTAATATATATATGTATGTATGTATATACGTATATATACATATATATACGTAATTATATATACATATATATACGTAATCACATCTGGGAATTCCCCTCTGCCTCGGTCGGTCGTGGGGGTCTTGGCACCGGGTTTTGCTCCCCTTACCTCCCCTATCGGGCCCCACTGCCCCCACTGCCCCACTCCCCCTGGTTTCAGGTTCCGGCTGTGGCGGATACGGCGTTGGTGGACGCCACGGGCTGCGGAAACGCCTTCTGCGGGGGCTTCCTGGCGGCACTGTACCGCGGCGGCGGCGGGAACGGTAGCGGTAGCGGTAACGGCGATGACGCATGCGGCAACACTGGCGATCAGGCAGACGGAGTCGGTGACACCAGCACACAAGGAGGGTCCCCAGAGGCGGCTGTAGCGACCGCGGCAGCTGGTTTGGAGGTAGCAGGACGGGTCGATGCTGCCGGTTGCGCACCGAGTGAGGGTGAAGGGCAGGAAGGGCTGCCGCCGCCCTGGGTTCGAACTGGCGACCTGAGGCTGGCCGGGGCTTGGGGCTGTGTGGCGGCGAGCTTTATGGCGGAAGAACGCGGCGTGCCGCTGAAGCGCGTGGCGGAGTTGCAGGTATGCGGGGTGTCTGCTGTCGTTGTGCCTTCTGATTGCCCCGCTCTCCTTAAGATGCACCTTTCGGCCGGCGTAGTATAATAGAAATAGTATCATCCCACCATGTTCGGATTTGGGGGATTTGGGTTGTGGTGGGGGGTGCGAGGGTTGGGGAGGGAAGGCGTTCCAATTGCGATGGTGCCTTGTGGCTGAGAGTTTGGGGTGCTGGAGAGTATGGTGGCAAGGGGCTAGGTTGGAGACCTGAGGACGACCTGTATAGCTGGGCTGGCGGGAGCTAGGAGACGGGCATGTGTTTCGTGGACGAACAGTATTGCCTAGTGCTAGGGTATGACTTCGCTGTTCGTAGGCATGCACAGTGCTGCGTAACGTTTGGGACTTGTGGCGCGACATCGCAGTTGTCTTTTTTATGCCGCTGGTGGGATTTGGATGCTATTTTAACTTGCAGTTCATGACTGGGGTTAGCTTACCTCAATGAAAACTGGTTACGCAAATCTCTTTGAGCTAACTTGTCCTCCTTGCGTTGCAGGACAAAGCAAACGCACGGCTGAAAGCTTTGTTACCCCGAGTTCAACGTGTACAGCTAAGGACTGCTTTCAGCAGGGGCACTTCTTGCAAGGTCATCGCGGAACTGCCGTCCCAAGGGACATGCGCACGCTTGTGCAAACAGTTGAAACCAGCCACGTGCCACTTGACATTTCATAAGTTCCGTTCATCCTCTGGACGTTTATCCTTTCGCCGCGGGATATGTGTATGAGACTGCCGAGGTTGTAGGTATTTCGTCTCTAGATCAAACTCGTCTTTTTTAATGGCGTCGTTTTCCGTTATTAGCTTAGATTGCTCCTCTGCGGAGGTATGTGTTTCACCTTTCGTAGTCATTATGTGTGTGCTGGTAAATTTTGGCATGATTGTACGGTTTGACGAGCGGGTTGGTGTAACCTAAAGCTCTTCCTAATACATTCATGGCCCCTTTGACCATGTGCCGCATGATGTGCAAATTACTTTCTGGATAGAAGTGTTTGATCCTCTGATGCTGTCCTTCTTACTGAAAGGTTGCTTTCGCAAGGCATCGGCGCAGTGACCCTCCTTCAGAGGTGTTATCTGTTTGGCTGACTTTTCCTGGTGCAACAGCTCTGCTGTAGTTCATAATGTACGATCCGCTGCCTAAGTCAACGTGAGTTCCATCGGCACTGCATCAAGAGGGTATGGACCTCTCCAACACGCTGTGGCTTTGCTTCATCTGCGCTGGATTGACCTGTATCCGCAACATTATATCCCAACGCTTGGGGGCCGATGGACGCGGGTAAGGGTGGCGTGTGTCGGCGAGTCGGCGAATGTTGGTGCGGAACTTCAGCGACTTTCATTTTGTTCCCAGCAGAACTGCATACTTCAATGTTGTTGCTATTCTCTCACCTCATGGATGCGGATTCTGTGCACGGCTTACTGCCGCCATTATCCGGCTTACCCTGCAGGCTAAAGCGATCTATGGCGAGGCTTGCACGGAAATGTTATGTAAAACAGCGCCCGGAGACCTCTGCACCAGCGCTGTTAACTGCGTTGGATTCGCAGTCGTCCCTGTCGTCACCGATAAGCGATACACGTGACAGTGCATCTTCACGCAACAGTGTAAGCGGTTGCACTTATGACTGTTGTCCTGGAGGTAGCAATGCTTCTTGCCCAGGCGGCGCGTCATGCAGCATGTTCGGGGCAACTTGCGACTCTACAGTTTGCAGTGTTGCGGACAGCGCCTCAAGCAGTCACAGCAGCCTGCAGGGAGAAAGCGATGAAGAAAGCGATCGTAGATGCGTTGCGAGCAGTGCCGACTGCAGTGACGATGAGCGTTCAGTTCATGCTTTGGGATGCTCTACCAGTTGCAGCAGCAGCACGACGCTCTCTCCACGAATGGGATTGCATTCTCTGTCCTCGCGGCCGCTTCGGCCGGCCATCCGCCTGCCAAGCAGCTCCGGTCTCTCGCAGCCGACGCGGTTAGGGGAGTCACGAAAGAGTGTCACGTTTGACGCTGGCGGCACCGTCATCTGCTCACCGCCGACGGAGGAAACCCTTTGCTTGCTGGCTGCTGGCACCCCAACCCTATCGATCTCGGCTTCCCTTTCCTCCTCCAGCCGTGCCTCTGGCGATGCACTAGCCAGGGTACCCACTGTTGACACAGAGGTGTCGCAGCGCCATACGAAGGCTGCCTCTGCCGCCTACGATCGGTCATTTGGTCGCACCGCCGCCACCTCTGCCACTGCGTCGACTTTGCAAGAAGCTCAAACACCTAGGCCCCGTGCCCGAGTGACTGTCAGCCAGCCAGGTGTCCCTTTGCAACGCACCGCTGCATCGGCGCAGCTGTTACGGGCAGTGACAGTTGCCGGCACGTCACCCTCCAATCATTTACCAACTTACATGGACTCAGCGCACACGACGGCGCTTGCCCGCGCTGCAGCGGGCCGCCGGCGGGTTAGGGCTGCATTGGAAGAAGCCAGGAATCGCCATTTCCATCTGGGTCAGAGCTCGCAGACCCTAGTAACTGGTTGGTCCCATGCAACACATGTTCCAAACCCCAACCAGCAGCTCCAGATTACAGCAGCAAATCAGACGGACTGCCTTGAGGAGTCGTTTAGTATCCGTGGGCATCTGGGTCAGGAGGGCCGGTCAGGTTACCCATCCACTGAGAAGCTGCGGCCCACCAGGTTGCCGAACCTGCCGCTGGCGTCTGGTGACCTAGATATCCTGTCCGTTGGTTATGCCGCCGCCGCTAACAAAGGATGTAGTAGCACGCCCTCTACCGCTGCCGTCACCGTTGCCATCGCCACTGGTGCCAGAGCTCATGCTGATCAGGATGGGGCTGCCACAGTGGTTGCTGCCAGTGCAACACCTTCGTCTGCTTTGGCTGTGTTGAGATCAAACGGCCACTATATGAAAGGGGAGCAGCAGCACCACGCTGAGACAGCCTCGGCGACGGATAGCAGTCAACCAACATCAATAGCAACGAGAGCCGTAGCAAGGGCAGCTATAAATGCTTACCTGCCTGCATGCAAGGAGTCACACAGCAGCTGGTCCACCTGGTTGGTCAGGTTGAATGGGCGAGGTGCCGCCTCGTTGAGCCAATTTGCACCAGCGGAGAGGTTGCGACTGGCGGAAGCGGTGGCGAAGCAGTCTCACCCGTCTGTTAGCAAGATAACGGCAGGGCACTAATAGCGGTGTTGATGATGGAGAGGGCGATGCTGCCGGTATGCCTATTGTGACAGACTATGCTGGTATGGTGCTTGGACTATTTGAGCCGCTTTGTGCGGCATCGACGGCGTGGCGAGCTCACGAGCTTGCTGTCCGAAGGCCGAACACTTGGTTCCTCGCCGCAGCACAACTATTCAGCGTTTGGTTGGTCAAATTTGTCAGCGAGAGGAGTCAGTAATGAAGGCTAGTCGACCTAGGCGTTCCGTTGCCAGGTTGAATTCCTGAGAAGGTGTGGCATACAGGGCATGACCCCCCTTCGGATTTGTTGAGTGTGTGATGGTAAACCTTTTCGTATTAAGCGTGTCGCTTCGCCAGCCGAGTCCACTGGTATATGCTGGATTCATTTTTTATTGCTGCTTATATTGGGCAGCTACTTGTGATGCTGATGCAACAGCATCTGCCGTTTTTCCGTCGCCAACATTGGGTTCCCTTACGCTTCATAAAGTGCCATCCCCGATGTAGCGTACAGGTTTGGTCGTCGAGGAAGGATTACGGGGCAATCAAACAACAGTTAAGCCTGTCGTTTGAAGTCTGATGCTGCCCCCACGGCGACCGGGACCAGCGTCAAGCAAAGTAGACGTGCTTCGTTCTGGCGGCTTCAAAACTCGCCAGGAGTGTCTCAGGCTCTAGATCTCAGGACGTCGGGTTTGGAGGCCTTATGTTTGTGTTAAGGCTCGTGTGGCGTGCAAATCCTGTTCTGGCAGACAGTTCCTGATTAAGGGCGCTTGATTGCTCTAATTATGGGTTTGTGTCAGTGTGCGTGTCCGTGTGCTTTCTACATGAATGTTCGTGTTTGCAGTTACGTGGATGTGTTTTGTGCAGCGCATGGTCTATCGAGCGCAGCGACGGTGTGTAGTGGCGTTTCCGACCTGGCTGGTGAATCCCGCTACAATTCCAGTCCGGTGGGCGAAACTGTTTTGTGAGCACACAGTTCGTCTTTGCTTTCGGCGGGCATATCGCGAAAGCGGCATTTTTTTTAATTGCGTGTGCTACTTATGGTGCCTAGCCCGGATTGCGTAAATTTAATACAGGCGTTTATTCTGTCTAGTGCAAAAGATAACACGTAATTTCAGCGCCGGTTTCTGGTGTGGTTGACCTCGCCTCTGCACGTTTGCGCACATACATTGTGCTACGTGTGTGTGCGAGTTGTTTTAGATGTTTGAATGTATGCATGTCCGTATGTTTCGTGTATGCGTTTGGTGCATACTGCGCCTGTGTTTTGCAGGAGTTTGCACGGCACTGCTAAAATTGTTTTGGGCAATGTGTTCTTGCTCGTGTTGCCTGTCGGTTTTAAACATACGCTTTGTGTAGTGTGATGGCTGGCAGGGGTTTTTATGTGTACGCTCTGAAAAGCTGTTGTGTATTGCATTGCGACAATGAACGTGTGCGAATAGACGGCGACCAAATACAACAAAAGTTGGTTTACCAAGCACATGTAGCACATGTAATTGGGTTTTGTTGCATTGAGATTCTTTGTGGTTGTGTAAGCCGTCGATGAGGAGGACAAACGAGACAAAATCTTCAACATCATCTACGTTTTTAGCATGGCATAGCAGTACACGCAAACCTTCGCTTACCCACAAATGAAAAAACGCCTTACAACCTACTAACCGCCGGACCAAAATCCTGAGAAACCCAGAACCCTAAGTACAGAACACAAAAAAGTGTTGTTTCAAGCCGTGCATTTATCTTGCAAACATTCACCACAGCTCACGAGTACCACATACCTCCCCCACCACATACCCAAATTTCCCTTGCGCCGTTCATCCACGCAGCACTCGCGCGAGCATACACACGCACAAGCACATACACAACGTTACACCCCCGGGAGTTCCCATTGTCCAAATAACGCAGCGACTGCTGGGACGCGGCTGCCCCTCTCCCAGCTCAGCTGCACGCAATCAAACACTCACCACAGAACGGTACGACGAGGTTACGACAAGCACGACAACATAAGATGGCGCACCAAGTCCACATTAGTCTTCCAACACCCACGCCCTCCTCCCCTGCCCACGCCACGCATACTCGTCCCGCCCTCCTCCCACTTGTCATATCACAAGCCGGGTCGGGTGGGCCGGGCCCGCACCCACACTTTCCCGCAAGACGGCTGGGGGCCCACATGTTTGAAGGTAGGGCAGCTGCACCCGCTGCAGCCGGCCGCGGGTCATTTGGTAAAAGGAGAAGTGTTCCCGGCCCGACCTGACATAAGCCCCTCTCCGATAGGCACAAGCCTGTCCGGCTTAGCGCGCTTCACCTAAACCTGCCAGAATGACCGCCGTCAACTCCTCACAACTATGCACCTTCTGCACCTATCTGCCTTGTTTGTCAATCTGCCTGGTTCACCTGTCCATCCGTCTGTCCTGTAGAGGTGTAATCTTGAAAGGCTTGATAATATGGGATACATTCCAGCACAAGGACAGGGACGGGGGAACGCGTTACTTGACCTTGGGAGCCACGGCATCAGATTTGGTGGTGCCACGCTCCGGGGGGCCCAGGTCTCGGAACTGCAATAGGGAAGCGGAGGTGAGTGACCCATGGGTCAGTGGGGGTGTTGGATTGGGGTTTGGGTATGGGAAGGTGTTCGGGGCACGGGACATTCAAGTGTATAAAAGCATGAGAGACGTTAGCTGCTGTTGCCGCCGACATCGCTATTCCGGACGTATTCCCACCCGAACTTTCCCGCACGCATCCTTCCCGCTCGCACTTCCAGACCTCTCAACCGCCGTACCTGCCAACCGTGGGGTTGACGGTGCTATCCGTCATTTGCTGTGCCTGGCTGCTGAGATCGAAGGTCTGCTAGGAGCGGGGCGCGCCCGTGCGCGATCTTGCATCTATCCTTTCAAATATTTATAAGGCAAGGCTGTGTGCCTATGTGCGCAGGCTGCGTATGCGAGAAATGTGCAAAGTAGGCAACGGTGCTTTATTTTGTCACCGGAACGGATCCAAAGGCTGGCTCTCGTCGTAACCTAGCGTGGCGGTGACGAGGACTGCCGTGGCTGTACGGTGCGTCGGCTTTTCGCCAGTCAGGCGGCTACCTGCTTTTGTGCTACCAAGGGGTTTTTGCATGGTGGAGTATGTATTGAAAAATCGCGACTTAAAACGGCGCTATAACCGACGGATGCGCAAAGTCCCGCAAACCCTTTTTTTTCCAGTATGAAGCCGCGGTTCGGCTCCGTCCGTTACATGGTTGGGTCAGATTTGAGCACCGGCAATCCTTGATGCTCACTGTAACAAGATAATTTAGTAATACGTCTACGATCCACGTAGGTGGGAGCTGTCAAGTCAAACAGCGTGGCTCATGGTGTACTGTCCCAAGTCGTATGGATAGATGGTCAGCGTCCTTTGGAGTTACTTTGTATGATTGCAGGCTCAGGTCGTCAGCAAGGCCTCGAAACAGCAAATAGTGGAGATGACGAAAGCCAGTAAAGCTAAGCCGTCTTCCTGCTGTCTGCAGTTGTTTGGTCATCCTGCAGGCCCACTAGTAGTACGTAAGTGGTGTACCTTACGGCACATCGTCGCAAAGACCCCACCCAAGTTTTAGAAGTTTACAGCGTCATGAAGACCAGGCAACATTGTATGGCGTTTGCGCTTGCCTGGCACTCGGATCCTTCCAAGAAAGTTCGTATCTTCCCGAGTTCAATTTCGCGTTCGCGCGGCTTTGACCGGCCGCAAAATCGCTAACGATGCGCTGCCATGTCCGACCGCACGCAGCGGTAGAACAGGATTGTCCAAGCGCCCTCCTGTCCCCCCATTTCGCTCTGTGCCGCTTTGCGCCTCGCAGCGCGTATATGCTTTGACCGTCGTTATCTGTCACCAAGGGCAAGGAGAGGGCACCTCTAAAGAGTACACGCAAGTTATTCGTATCAAGTCAGCAGCAGGAGCGATACTAATATCACGCCGAGAAACTAGATTACAAGTTCAAGGCGCAAAGCCACATCAGAACCAACTGTGCATCTCGAGGGTCCTATCAGGTTCTCATCCATTTCCCCCTCCACCACGCATCGGTGCATATATAATTTAAAACAAACACAAACACGCGCACGCGCTGAAACCGTCGCAACTCCCCACTTCTACCGCTCGCATCATCAGCATCAGCATCATCATCAGCAGCAGCAACATCTTCAACGACTGCAGCCGCAGCGGTGCCCCACTCCACCCTCACTCGTTGGCCTCCACAGCTTCTTTCTCTCTTCCTCTTTCGACACCATTACCCCCGGCTTCCCACCACCATCTCTCCCCATCATGCCACGTGATATGACTGGTACGGGGCGCTACCCCCCGCAGCCTCGCCACCCCGCCCTCGCCTTCTACTCGGCAGTGCGGATGGGCGACCCCGAGCTGCTGACCAGGATTATGCAGGTACGTGCCGTACACCGTACATTACCCGGCTCCGCCAACGCATCGCACCAGGATCATTTGGTAAGGTGCTTTTGGCCTTTAAAGGAGGAGGAGGAGGAGGGGCATAGGCGGGCGGGAGTCGTCAATGGCCCCCATCCGCAAGCAGTGGAGTCCAGGGAAGGAGGACAGAGACCTCCAGTCGAAGACCCCTCTCCACCAACTAGAAACGTGTTACCTTTTATATTACACACGCATGGAAATGTGTAGCAGCTGCGTAAAAAGAAAGAAACACACGAGCCTGTGGAACTCAGGTAAAAATCGCCGCCCAAGGTGGGGGCAAAGGAAGCATCATGAGAGGCTCACCCCACCACAGCGGCTGCGGTGGTGGCGGTGGTGGTGATGGGGGGGGTGGCTGTGGTGGTGGTGGCGGTGGCCCCTCATGACCTGCTGCGGCTCTCGCCTGGCTATCCGCCTCACAAAGTCCACTCAGCTCAACGAAGTTGGTGTAACTTTAAACCACTAAAGATCTACCATCCCCACACCACTCCATTGCCGTATATATACCCGTCCGGAGACCCAGGTGGATCCGTACTTCGTCACCCAGGACAACGGTGCGGGTGCGCCCATCCACTTCGCAGTGACCTATCGCCAGTTGGACATGGTAGGTGTGTGTGTTGGGGGGGGTTGAGGGGGGTAGAGGGGGGGGCCCGGCTGGCGGTTCTGGATCTGAGGTGGCCTATGATGGGGCCGGGGGGGTCCAGGAGGGTTGAGGGTCGGGGAGCGGAGGGAAGCGGAAGAAGAAGCAGAGGGGTTTGAGGGGGGGGCCCTGAGCTTGAAGACTTATTATATTTTCCACTTCCGTCGTTTTAACCACCAATGCCAACCGCCAACCGCCAACCCCTTTCCCGCCACTCCCCCCAGGTGCACCACTTACTCAACCTGGGCGCCTCCGTCAACCAACGCGACCCCCGGGGTTTTACCCCCCTCCACCGGGCCGCCCACCTGGCCCACCTGGACGGCTACCTAGAGATGTACGAGTACCTGCTGGTACGGCATGGTGTACGGCAAGGCTTGACTATATGTTCTGGATGGGATGGGGCAAGAGTTGCATTGTCAGCAGGGATTCATTCTCCTTCCAACCGCCCATCCACCCCAAACACATCCCTCCCCCCCCTACCCCTCTACCCCCCTACCCCGTGTCCTGCGACCCTTCCCAGGTACAGGGGGCCCCGCTTTTTAGGCTTCCCTCTCTCTGGCCAGCCCCTCGCCTGTCCGTCTGTCTGTCTGTCTGTCCATCCATCCAAAAACCTACATCTTGCCTCGCTGCCGGACCCTCACCCCACTCACTTTCCCGCAAAACACACTTACACGCACTTTGCACCCGTACCCGTGCACTTAGTCCCGAGGGGCCGATCCCGCCATTCTGACGGAGGATTACGACAGCTATCTAGATCCGGGAGCCAAGACGCCGCAGCAGGTGGCCGTGGATGACCCACGGGTCAGGGCCGCATTACAGGTGAGCCGAGCTAACGCCAGGGAGGGCGGCTTGTGTGGTGCTGGAATGACTGGGGTGACGCCACACGAGTCGCAGCTGAGGATTACCCACCGGCTTCAGGGTGATGACGGTCCGTGCGTCAGCAGCATATCTGGAGAGGAGCAAAGGGAGAGGGGCAGAAACAGGTGGCGCTCTGAGAGCCATTTCTCATTACCGCAAGACTATTTTTTTCTGTTTGGGTGTCTGTCTGAAAAATGGATGGCTCCGAAACCCTCTGCACCAGACTGCTCCGGGCCTTATGGCCCCTTAACTTCACATGGAGCCACGGAAGGCAACCGAATACTTAACCGATGCCGTACGTCCTCGTATACAGACGCACATCCTTCCTATCCTGATCTCCCTCAGCCTTCTTTTTCCCAACAGGCACTTGAGGACAAGTATGCCTCCGTACCGAAGGTACGACAAGTCTGTACGACATATGTCATACAGTAATGCCTGTGCAGTTTTGCGCGGATGTGCTTGCGGAGGGATGACGTGTAGGTCTGTAGCGCACAACCCTTTGAGAAATCCGCATCTGGAACCCCTTGGTGGTGTGAAGGGGTGTAGGGGAATGGCGACAGCGGGGCCTGAGACAGGGGAACAAGGGGGAGGGGGAAACGACATCACAATTGAAGCGCAAACGTCCAGCGGGAAGTGGGTTTAGACCCCCCCGCGGTTGCGTCCGAATCCACTACTGGGAAAGAGGGAGAGCATTTAGGAGGGGGGGGAAATAGCATGGAGAATAAGTGGTAAAAACGGGGGAAGGGGGTTGCAGTAAAAGTGGGGAAAGTGAAGAAAGGGAGAGGCGGGAAGGAGGGGTCCAGACAGCTCCCCCGAACGGAAGAATATCACCCCCACAGCTCACAACAGCTCATAGAGCCAACCACAAGTCCAACATGCTCCATGGGGTTTCACGGACGGGCCCCGCATTCGTACGGAACCTGTGACATACGGACCGATCGATAACATGTACGTGCCGTACACGCATACACACACGCACACACGCACACACAGGCCCCACGTGCGCATCCTGACCTGGGCGACTGGTGGACGCTGTACGACTACGGCCCCGAGATTGTGGGCGCCTGGCCCCACAATTATGTGCATCCCTACCCTGAGGAAGCGGCGCGGCGGCGTGCCAAGGTGAGTGTACGACATGCGTCAGCGTGCGGCTGTTGCGCGGTACTAGCGCCTGGCACGTTGTGAACTAAGTGTCTTGGTGGTTTGGGTGGGTTTGAGTGGATGATGTGTACCCACGGGGTGGGCTTCGCTTGCGGTGTAACATGCATGGCAGCCTGCGTGCCTGTGTTTTAGTCCTCTGGAGGGTATATGAATATTAATTATTACAATATACATATATATATATATATATATATATATATATATATTGGGCAGGTGGCTGGCAGAGGTTAAGGCCTGACTTCTGCTCCCGGAGTGTCCGGGTACAAACCCGCCTGCCGATCCCTCGGTGTGTGAGGGGTGTTGAGTTGGGAGGTTGGCCCCCATCTCATGGACGGTGTAGAACGTGAGAATAGCAGTTCGCGAGCTGACCAGGAACTAAGTTGTGGCGCCGTTGATCCGCTAGATTTGGTTGGATGCTGGTGGTGAGTTGCTGAACCCAACGAATACATTCTGAAGTCGGATGGGGTGAATGGATTAGGGTGCAACTCTCGCAGGGGAGAGCAGGGAACTGCCTCCAAGGTAAAGGGGGCCGCTGGTGAAGCTATACCACCCTGTAACAACATCAACATCATATACTATTATGTATATTATAATATATGATGTAATATATGCGTGTTACAACTTGAGTTGCGATACTCTCCGAATATATAAAATATAATATTCAATATATGGTCAGCTGCTTTGTTGGGAGAATGCTGAGCGCAGGCGGGGCGAGGGTGCGGGGGGAGCCCCTCCTAGGGTTCACCGCACCCACACCACGGCAAGGTAGTCGACAAGGTAGTCGTAACCCTACCACCATCACCCCCCGCCATCATCTCTCGTATCCTTATCCGTACGCCCGTACGAATGCCGTACAAATGCCGCACGAATGACATACGAATGCCGTACAAATGCCGTACGTACGATGGTCCTCCTCAGGCGGAGAAGCGCTCCCAGCGCGAAGCTCGTAGGGAGAAGAGGGCGGCGTTCCTGTCTAGCCTGGAAGCAGGTAAGGTGCCTGGGAGGTGTTGGGAGGTGGGGGTGGATGGGGGGTGGGGGATTGGGGGTGTTCTGGTTGGGGTGCGGCTAGGGGGTGGGGGCTCCATCGCCACCACCATCTCTACCACCGTCATCACCACCGCCACCACCAACACCACCAACACCACCGCCATCTCCACCACCGTCACCACCGCCATCTCCACCACCGTCACCACCAACACCACCACCATCACCACCATCACCACCACCACCACCGCCATCACCGCCATCACCATCACCACCACCATACAGACCGGCGATATCCCGTCTGTCCTCATCTCACCCCCATTTCCCCCCTCCGAGCCCAGGTGGCGACGGCAGCGAAGTTCTCGGGTCGTACGGCAGCCCAGCTCAGGCGTCGTCCGTGGCGGCCGCCGTACCACCACCACCACCACTTCCCGTCGCTACCAATCGTGTCGTTTTCCTGTTCCCGGGGCAGGTACGACAATCGATTTTTTGAGTGCTGTCGGAATCGGGTCTTGAACTTATCAAGGACGTATTGCTAGGTGCCCTGTACAAGGCCTTTGCATATATGTCGTGTCTGAACTAGTCTACTATGCATGCATAAGTGATGAAGCTGCATTTGGAGGCCCGTGTGTGGGTGTGGGTTCATTTCTTAACCCAACCCTCGTATTCCTTAAAGTGACATTTTCTCGACTCAAATCCCCTAACTGCCAACCCCCAACCGCCAACCGCTACAGGGCTCCCAAGCCGTTGGTATGCTCTCCGCCGCCGCCAACCTGCCTGCCGTGGCGGCCATGTTGAATACCGCACGCCAGGTGCTGGGGTACGACTTGTTGGAGATCTGTACGAAAGGTACGACATCTGTACGACACTCTGTTGTGGCCTGCTGTGGCCTTTTACCGACCATCTATATCAATATTGCCACTCGTTTCATGCGGGTGGTGCTATTCCTGAACTTTCTCTTCCCCTCCCCTTCCCCACACACCCACATACATACATGCACACACATCCGCATACATACATACATCCGCATAGGGCCGCAATCCGTTCTGGACGACACAAAGGTGGCTCAGCCGGCGTTGTTTGTGGCGGGTCTTGCGGCGGTTGAGCTGCTGCGGCAGAGTGACCCGCGGGTCGTTGACAGCTGCAGCGCGTGTGCTGGACTGAGCCTCGGCGAGTACACAGCACTGGTGTTCGCGGGGGCCCTGAGCTTCGAGGAGGGCCTGCGGGTGAGGGGGTCTCAGGGGCCCGGGGTGGGGGGGAGGGGGGGGACACGGCTTTTGGAATCCTCGAACGCCAATCGTGTGTTTCCCCTCTGTGTGTGTGTGTGTGTGTGTGTATTTCAATCAAAGCCTTCCTAATGCACAATTGCACTTGACACACACACACACACACATAAACACACACTCGTGGATCGTCTTTCCACCTCCCCCTCCCCCTCCCCCTCCCCCCCGCTCCGCAGGTGGTCAAGGCGCGTGGAGAGGCCATGGCCGCAGCCGCAGCCGCCGCCCCCCCCGGCAGCGGTCTGCGGCCCCACGGCATGTTGAGTGTGGTGGGTCTGCCGGACAGCGACCTCTCACGGCTGGCTGAGGAGGCGGAGGCCGGCGGGGCACCTGGCAGCGTGTGCCGCATCGCTAACTACCTCTTCCCACAGGTCGGTCGGTCATTCCGTGGGGCATTGTACGGCGTACGGCGGTACGGCGCTTGTGCACATGCATGCGCAGCTGTACGTTCTTATGCGGATATGTTGCTTTTTTTGGATTTTTTGGCGGGAAGGATTTGAAGGTTTGTAGATACGTGCAGTACACGGGCGGTTTGGGCGGCACACTTCCTACCGCACTCCAACAGCCCCCCCCCCCGCCTTACTTCGCACCCTAGCTCTTATTTCCGTTTTCGTCTGCTCTCCGTCTTGTCCTATACGTACACATCCATCCCTTCTATCCCCTATCCCCCTCGTAGTTTACTCCCTTCCCCTCTTCCCCCTTCCCCTCTTCCCCCTCCCCCTCCCCGACTGGTCAGTTCTGCTACCGTACTGTACATCTGCCGCAGCACTCTTTCCTTGGCAGCAGCTTCACTCGTTCACGTGGTTCGTCATTTTCCCCTCCCTCCCCCCNNNC